AAATAAGATAATTATAATAATTATGAACTTTCAACATTAAATTAAAATTGAATTAATTTAAAATCTATTATTTACTTTGATCCACTTTAGGAATCCTCAACTTTTCTTTTTGTTTCTAAAACTTAATCCTATTAAGTAAATTCTTCAACAATTTTAAGAGTAACCTTATTGATATAACATGATTATTTAGCAATCTATTCAAAGATATTAATTAAAATTTATGTTAAATATTTGGTATTGATGTTTATTTGGCAATTTTTATCAACATAATTAAAAATATTAAATTTCAACTTATAATAAGTTGCTAAAGATTCATAATATTTTTAAATTATATTAAGATAATCATGAATCTAAAATTTTTCATAAGTTTATTATTGAGTAGAAATTTTATTTCTTTAAAAATAAAATATATAATTCCTAATGTAATTTATTATTGATAAGTTTAAACACTTTAAACTCATTATTTATTCATATTGGTTAAGATTTATTAATTTAGTTTTCTTTATTTATTTATATAAATTTTCTTATTGTGATACAATTTAAGTTGAGAAATTAATAATTAGTTTTTAGTGTTCTTTTATTTATTTTTAATGCTCTCCTATTAAATCTTATACTTGTTCAGATTTTATTATTCCTATTATAATTGGTTTTCCAAAATTCATTTACTTTAATAAAATTTTCATTCCTATTATTTAATCAGTAATTAAATTATGATACATTATTTAAATTTCATTATCAATATCTTATTAAATTGGTTCAAAAACTGATTTAATTCTTCTAAATAAATATTCTTCTAATTTTATTCCTTTTTAAATTCCTTTTTCTATTAATCTTTTTTGACTCTCTTAGTTCTTTATAACTAAATAACAAGACCTTAAAAAAATCTTCAACTATTCAGTTTCTTTGATATTCATGGTATCTTCAAATTTTTTGTTTTAAAATTCTAATATAAATTATCTTGTTCTAGAATCAACACTGACAGCAAACATAGCATCATTTATAAATTCATTGATGAGATCTCTATAATATAAAGATTGCATTACTTTTATTTGTTGGCAATTAAATTCAGTGAAAATTCTAAACGTGCTGTATATTCCTGCATATATGTCCAAATTCCAATACAAACAACACAAGCAATTGTTTAAAATACAAAATGCATTTGACTGGCTTTATAATTATCAAATACCCCTAAAAGTATAAAAGGAGTGAAAATTGTATAAACTATTTTCAATCTGTTATCGCTATATTACATAGTACCAATAGCTAAACAACATGTATTAAATCCAAGTATAAAGGAAGGTCTTGAATATGAATTAAGGAATACATATCTAATCCACTCAGAGTGATTAATATATTTGTAGATAGGCTCCAAACATAATAAAATGAGAATATTTATCTTAAATAAGGTACTAATTTCTTGGCAATTATAAGCATAAAAAAGCAACCTCCTAATACTCCAATCATAATTATTATTAGTTAAATTGGCTGCTATTGAATTACAAATGTTATTAAACAAATAAGAGCTGCTACTGAAATCAATAAGTTAATCATTTGAAATGATATAAGTCTAATTTTGTTTTAATGGACTTCAAATTCTTCTTCAAAGTTAGGATCATAAAAATTTAACTTCCATTTATGGAAAGGTAAACCAATCATTTAATAAACTTAGATAAATAATTAAAATGTAAAGCTTGTTAATCAATTAGTATGAATAAAATAATATAGATTCATAATCGAGAACAAATAAGAAATAAAAATCAAATAAACATTTACCTTAATATAATAAATATATATTATATTTTTAATTTTAATTAATCAAAGATGGAATTTGAGAAACAAATTTATCAAACACATTCCTTCTTTTTGTCATTTAGTTTGGTGAGATTTTTTGTTAAATTGGGTTCATTCATATTCCCAATTTTAAGTATTTTAGGATTTTGTGCTTTATTAATGCTACACATTAACTAATAGATGACAGGGTTAAAATTGCAAGAAACAGACTTAAGTACACTTAGTTATTGATGATAGTTGACTTTGATAATGAAACTGTGTACAATTTTAACATTACAAATTCTAATAATGAAAATCTCAATCAGAATTTCAAATATGCTTTGTCCCAAAGTCTTTTGCAATTATAAGATGAGTTTTTAAATAAATACAATTTTACTCAAAAAACTATAATGATTAATGGAGATAAATATTAGAGTGGTTTGAATTCTATTTTATAATATACAACAAATATTGAGAGTTTTTTTTTGATAGATCTAATTCATCATATGAATGGATCTACAATATAGATAGTGGATATGTAAAATAACATTTCTTATATTTGGGAAAAGTCATATTTTGAAGGTATAATATTTTTAAATTATAATAGAGTATTATGCAAATACATTCTCAGAAAGGATATATAATACAGTTTTGAGAATATGTAAATGCATTATTGGATTATTTTTCTAATGTATAACAGCTTCTATTTATTTTAGAATGCTATTTATCTATATGCCTGTATTTTCATTAATTATAAGTATTATTATTGCATAATTATGTTTTTAGTTGGTTTAATATTTTGTAGAAATCATTAAGAATTACAAATATTGGCCAGGAGTTATCCTTGGATTAATCATTATTTTGAAATCTTAACAAGAAATAATAAATTGAAAAATCAAATTATTGATTCCTTTCTATAAACTCTATATATGTTTTTGTTGATATTTGGTTTGACTTGGGCTTAAGTAAATTCACTATTATTTAAAAAACAACATTCATTTTACTTAATAGATAAAATAACGTAGTATAATAATAAAATATAATTAGGCATGCATTTTCTTTTGAATATTTTAGTTTACACTTTCTCAGAACAAGATCTTCCTTATATTTTGTTCCAAAATATTGCTTCATTATCAGATTTTTCCTTTACTATTATATGCAATGCACTTTGTTTGGACACTATCAGTTAGTTTAATACATTAGTTTATTTGGTTAATTAGGAGTTTTTTGTTATTTTATAAACAAATTTGAAATACCAGCTCTAAATTGGTCTAACAGATCCCCTTACACACCCACGATTAATCGACCAAGAGCTTATTATGTTCCTTTATTTCCAATGAGTTGGGTAAATGATACTCCTTAGTTATGGTCGATGTTTTATCCACTTTATGGAAGGAGGTAATTATTTTCATTTAGCTTAGATATTTTTAAATATAAAATCTGGCTTTAGTAGATTAAAATTTCCCATTATTAAATCAAATTTTAGAATAAGAGATTTAATAAGGTTTAGAAATTCAATAGGATTAAGAAGTCTAAATTGATATAATTTAATAAATATAGATTCCTTAAGATAATCATTAAAATTAAATAATTGATCAATAATAATAATAATAATAATAATAATAATAATAATAATAATAATAATAATAATAATAATAATAATAATAATAATAATAATAATAATAATAACTAAATTAAATTCAATAAGTTTAAGTTGTACATTAAAATTAAGAAATTTAGCATCTGAACTAGGAATAAAATTTTATAAATCAAATTGAATGATTATTATTAATTTTATATAATTAATTAATTAAAATGGATTTAGAATGTCTATTGTTCAGAGTACATAAATCATTGTTAACATTTTCTAAAACTAAGCAAATTGTTAGCATTCTATTTAAGGCAACATCAATTTCAATTTTTTTCTATTTGATTTATTTCGTTGTGCTCAATTTAATTTAAATATCAAAACAACCATGCACAAATAACATTGGTATTTTATTCTCCTTTAAATATAGAATTTATGAATCAAACCTAATTCAAAAATGAAACCTTATTTAAAATATTTATTTATGATAAAGATGAAATTTACCAAACTTACAAATACTCAAAATAATCAGCTATTTATAGTTTACCTGAAGAAATTCTTAAAAAACATAATATATCAATTGAAGAGTATAAAATAGACAAGAAATGCTATGCCCAAAATTGGGTTGAAGATTTAATCTTAACTTAATCAAATATAGAAATTCTATTTTTAAATGACTTAATTTAAAAGTTAAGGAATGTGAATGAAACACATTATTTATTAGAAATAGAAAACAATAAAGTTCTAATTTGGATGAATAAATTAGATCTTGAGGAAGAAAAAAATCCAATTTCAGAAAAATTCTTAAAAACCTTTGCTTTTATAATAAAATGCACAATCTATTTATTTTGTTAAACATGCATAGCTAGTTTAATTATTAAAATTTTATAATTTGGAATTCCTATTTTATTAAATGCAGGATGGTATAGATTATATCAAAGAATATTGATAAATAATAATAAATAGTCTCATATGTTAAAAATAAGCTATCTATTGTTATTTTTTGTATTTTTTTAGGTATATTAATCTAGAACACTCTTAACTTATATATATTATAATTAAGCCACAATCCAATCATAGAAAAATCTATTATTGTAAGAAAACATTATTAATATAGATTAATTTTATTTAATGAAATAATGAGTAATTTCTTTTTTAGAACTAGATCTACTTTATTATTTGCTCCTAAATATTTAGTTTCTTATTATATACTATTTTTCATATATATGGAAGGAACAAGTAATCATAATTCTAAATTATTATAGATTTTGCATTTTATTATCATTTTGTAAATATTTTATGGCTTCTTAGTATTGCTACTGTACTTGCTTTCTTACATTTCTATGAAATACCAGCTATATAAGAATGGAATGAAGCTTCATTCTATACTCCTAAAATAACTAGACCAAGAACACTTTATTTTCCACTTACTCAATTAGAATGGAAGGTTGATATACCTTAAATATGGACTATGTTTTATCCTTTACATGGTAGATAATATTTCAATGTTGAAAATTTGTCATTAGTTGACGACAATTAAGATCTATTAAATAACTATTTATAATAGAATGCTGCTAATTAGTGATATTCATTTCATATATTTGTTATTTTTGTATAAAATTATTACATTAAAAATATATGATCAAATTTAATAATATTGTTCAAAACTTTTTTCAAGTTCTCTTCTTGAGGAATCTTTAAAATATGCTTTTTTATTTTGTTATAAAAATTCGACAAATTCAAAAACCTTGAAAATAATAATTAGTCTATACATTTTACATAAGTTTAGGTTTTAACTTATCTTATGTATGATCAACATAATTATTGAATAGTAAATTATTCAAAAAGGAACATTAATAATTGAAAGATGCGCAATAATTTTCATTTTCATTTTTGACTTAATAATAGTAATAGACATTTGTATCAAGCTTACCATAAAATTTTTCAGACAAATAATGCATCCCATGTGAAATTTATTATGCTTATATTAAACATAGTAAAGAGAGAATTAAAATTGTATTCATAAATATTATTGTTTCACAAAATGACAAATAGTCCATTATAATAAACTAAAATATTCTAGAAACAAAATTATAAATAGAAGAAAATAAAATGAATTTTTTAATCCTTATTCTTAAATTCTTTTCATGAAAATTTCTATTTCATTAAACGAAATGCAAAAGGTATCTTTGCAATTAATGAAGTGAATATTTAAAAAAATAGATTCCTTACTCTTTATTTATATACAATATAAATACACTAAATTATTCTCATATCACAGTCAAACTGTAATTAAAAGTGTACTAAAAAGGTAAAAATAATAAACTTTATTTGTTATATTCTTTTTAGAATAATTCAGAGTTCTTAGTTAAATTTTTTATTTCATAACCTTAAAGAGCAATTTGTTTAATAAATTAATCAATATTCTTTAATTCTGAATCATTTATGGATCCAGTCTAACATAAAAGTATTGCAAGAATTAAAATCAAACATAACTCAATAGACTTTGCCATTACAAAAACTTTATCAATTTTTAATGTTATAATTTGTATTTTTATATATCAATACTTTTTATAGAATTATCACTATAATGTAGTTACTTTATTAAAGTCTCCTAATTTATTTTTATATAAATTTAATATTTAATCAAAAATTGTTGTATTTTATAATTAATTGCATCCAAAATTCATACACTAAGTGGAAAGAGTTAGAAATATCATATTAAGCAATAATTTCATAATCAAAATAAAAAGCATAATGAATTGATTTTCTATTTGATATTCAAAAGTTCTTTAAATCTATAATAAATTAAACTAAAATAAAAATTATCTGTTAAAATTTTTTTCTCTTACTGCTTCTCAACTATCTTTCAATATGATGAATATATTTTTTTTTACAACTTTTATAAAGATGATATTTTGTTAACTAAGAAACAAAATCATAAGACATAATCTTTAATAGAGTATTAATTTTATTAACAAAACAAAAATGTGAAAATTTATCACAAATTTTTTTAAAGTAGATTTCATCTTAAAGGATTAATTTTAGACACAATAAATCACGCAGAAAAAAATTTATTTATTATTAGATATATACTACTAGGTACTTTTTATTTTTTCTTAAAGTTAATAAATTTAATATTTTAGATAAATTAAATGGTGTCAAAATTTTATGAAATTGATTAAGAGGGCCTCTATATCATATAAAGAGAATAGGATATAATTTAAGATGAGATATTTAAATAAATTAGAATTATGTTTTGAAATAGTGTTAATTTAGCTTAATATTAAATCTAATATTATTTAATGTGGTAGTGGTATGGGGGAAATTATTGAAATAGAATAATTTTCAAATGTTAATAGAATTAAATTTTATTCTATTGATCTAAACAAAAAATACAAATTAATCTCAAAGAAAAATTTAATAAAATAAAAATTTTAGATAAGTAGAAAGTAAACTCATTTATTTAGACACTGTATAGATAAAATATATTGATCTTGAAATTAAAATTAACAATTTAAACTTAATCTCTATGCATTTAGTATAAATTTATTTATAAATAAGATGTGAGATTAGATTATGATAATTAAAGAAAATATCAATAGACTACATATAGCATACTTTAAATATTTTATATGTATCTAATTCAAATTTTAATTTTTTTAGAATGCAAATAATAGCAGGATAGTATTATGAAGACTCATGCCTTTTTTATAATATAGAGAATTTAAACAACGCTATGTTCTCATATATGTAGCAAAACCATTCATCAAGTAGTTAAAAAAAAAATTATTTTCAAGATGATCTTTACGATTCAGCTCAATAAGAAATTGAAAATCCTGAGGCTGGGAACAATCCTATAAATCCTAATAACTTCTAATTCTCCTCAACGGATGATTAGAAATAAGATGAGTAATTAACCTATATACATTTAGATCATACATCAAAATTCAAAAGCAAAATTATCAATATAAAATATGTGGCAGCTAATTTTGAATCTAATATTGATATTTATAGTTAACTATATAACTCCATCTTATAAATTTTAAGTTAAAAATTCGATAGCGTTTCCATAATATTAAAAAATAATAAGCTAAGAATTAAGAGGCTTATTTTTTAAGAGAAGACACTTTATTCATTCTTAAGAAGTGTTTATTATATCAGAGCTGCAAGATACTATTAATTAAAAACAATCAAAGATAATTATTTCTGCCTTAAATTATTATATATATATATATTTCTTAAATAAGAAATTGAGATAATCTGAAAAATCTGTAAAATGGATACTATAAAGTAGGAAGTTCATTTTCGTACTTTTCATCATATAAAACTATTTCTATTTACAAATATTAATCTTAATCAATTAAATACATATTTCATTCATATTTCTTGACTAAAAATTCAATAAATTCTTATTATGAAATTTATCCATCTCCATCAGAATCACACATAGACAAAATTTCCTTCCATAGATTATCATCAATTCCTCCCATTATTTCTTATAATTCATCTCTACTTATTTAACCATCACCATTCTAAAATTGATTAAAGTATAATATACTGTATCAAACATATTAAATGCTTATTATAATCTTTATTTGTTCAATAATTTTTCTTCATTAGCTGCTGATGTAATGAATTCAGTAAAATCGACAAAACCAGATTTATTAGTGTCTACCTTATCAAATATATCATCCACCATTTATTTTGCTTTGATTTCATCATATTGTTTCAAATAAACTATAATAATAAAATATATTTATACCTTATAGTAATTCATCCTTACTAATTTACCCATTACCATCTTTATCTATTTTTTTAAACTCATTTAGTAATCCTTCCTTTTCTGCATTAGTCATTAGATTAGTTGAAATGAATTGCATCAAAGCAGCTCTCACTTTGTTTTTCCCCTTTAAAAATTGATAAAAATAAATACGAAAAAAGTTGACAAATTTTTTATTGCTTTGAAATCAATAGGTGCATTAGGAGCATTCTTTTAAATCCATGGATCATTAAATGCTTCTTAAGCTGAAATTCTTTAAGTATAATCTTTAGTAAGCATTTTTTTAATCAAATTTTTTGCTTCTTCTGAAATCTTATTCCAATCCTCAGCTAATCATATAATATAAGAATAGTTACGATCAAATTCATATTTTCCTATTTCTATATTCTATAAAATTTCTTAATCTTATCCTCCAAATGGTGGATAACCACATAGCATTATATAAAGTATAACTCCACAACTCCAAACATCACATTTTTCATTATAATTTCTTTTCAAAACTTCAGGTGCAATATAATAAGGCTATATAAGTATATTTTATATAATAATAATACAGTTCCTAATCTTTTAGTTAAATTTTGATTGCTTTCAACTTTTTTGGATGTTCCAAAATCAATAATTTTTAAATTTGAGTTTTGTTTCTTGTTTTCAAAAAGTATATTTTCTGGTTTTAAATCTCTATGAACAATTTTTTTCTCATGACAATGTACTACTCCACCTAATATTTATTTCATAATATCTGCAGCCATTTTCTCAGTAAAATATTTCATTTCTGTAATCTTTTGAAATAATTCACCTCCTTCTAAAAATCTATTTATGATTATTATTACTCATACTCTGTAATAAGATAATAATTTTTTGTATCCTAAAATAGTTCATGAAGTTTAACTATATTAGGATGATCTAACTCTTTAAGAGTATTGACTTCTGAGAACATGTTCTCCTCATCATCCTTAATAATTTTATCTTTTCTAATTTATTTCATTGCCCTTCTACATCCTGAACTTTTATGAATAACTAATCTAACTTCTCCAAATGCTCCTAAAATTTTATATATTATCTAATACCGCTTCCAAGACTTTTCTCAATTTTATAAAAATTACTAATTGATCCCTATTTTAGTGTAACAAAGATATCTGGTCCTACTTTAAATTCATCAGCTCCAGCTTAAGCTCCAGAATTTTTTCCTGCTATTGGTAATTTAGCAGGTTTTCTTTATTAAGATGAGCATGGACCCATATATTACAATATAATTTTATTTATAAGATAATTTTTGACAAATTTCTAAGTTATATATTTCTGATTATTTCATTTCTATTCTTTTTAATGAATCATTTCGGAATTCATAAATAAATACATATATATAAACAGGAAAACAATTCCTGTTTAAGTTAAGTAAATTAATTATTTGAACTAAAGAAATTATAAAATCAAAACAAAATCAAAATAATTAAGAGATCATTTCAAAACTCATACTAAAATACTGTTAAGGTAAGTTAAATATTAAAAATTTTGGAATGTTTTTTAAAAAATATAGGTTTGATAAATTAAGAGTATATATCATCTTTGCCTAAGTTACTTATTAAAGATATAAGAATTTGTTTATATAATTTATAAATCAATTATGATTGAAATTCCAATAAAAAATAGAAAATGTTGAAGGATATTAATATCAAATTGATGATAATGAAATTATTCCTAAATTAATTTTATGATATGAATAATAGTTAATAATTTGATTAAAAAAGTTATAAGATAAATAATTATATTTAAAAAAGGAATAAAATATTAATTAGATGTTGTTAAGAAATATAAAAAGAGAACATTTGAGAGTTTTTGAAAAAGTTATTGGATAGTGAATAAAATAATAAAATATAAACAGATTAAATAATTATCATGATATTTATTTTGTTAATGAAAGATATATCTATGTTAATAAGCATGTTCCAAAGATTAATGGAATCCAGTCTTTTTATATTCATTAAATTGATACATAAATTTTTTTGTTTTACATAGATCCATATAATATCTATATCTGATGTGTACATAATTATAATTTCTAATAAGATTATACATTATTAAATAGATCGTATTGTAATGTTGAATAATTTATTTTAAAATTAAATTTTATCTTCAAATAAGTGAAATAAGAATAAAGTTATATAAAACCAAATAGTTTTAAAATCAGAATTAACAAGTAATATGGTTATACTATATATAAGGAGTAAATTCAAGTTAATATTTTATGAGAAAATATCTTTAACATACTTCTCTAGAAAATTTTTGTAAGTAGCACAAAAGTATTTTTCAAATGATTTTGCTGAATTAATCATAAACATATGTTTTGGATTGTTTGTTTAAATATCTATATCATCATAACTTGCCCAACATTCTTATAATGCCCACAAAAAGATAAATCTAAAATAGATTTAAATTGCTGAGGTTACAAAGAATGAAACACCAGAAAGTGTTGTAATTTATTTATCCCAAAGCCATTCATTTTCTTTATGATTAGTTACTGAATAACATTATGTTAATATTTATAATGACAATAAAATTAAACCATTTATGATATATTTATGCTTTTTGATAACTGTTAAATTAATCCTAATCTGAATTTACCAATCATTAAATTAAATCAAAGGTCCTGAATAGTAAAGAGGTGGATAAAGAAGATAAGCCAGATATTCTACTAAGTTAATTTCTTATACTTCAACATTATAACTTGTCATCCTTAACATGTTCCAAATATAAATGTGTTACCAAGGAATGGGGGCTGCTTAATTAAATTCTTTTCCACTATCACCCCATATATCATTCAAACCATTAAATATATTAATTAGATAAATGATGATTAAATGCAATATCCAATGTATTTTTAGAAATATAGCTGATTATTTGCATAACTTTACAAAAATGAAATTAGCAAACATTAAAATAAGGTTAATAGCAAATCCAAATCTACTTAAGTAACCTCCAAATATGATTCCTGAAAAAATATAAAATGGCATTCTTTATTTCCGAAATAAATGTCTGAAGACTTTCATTAGTTATGATATTTACAGAAATAACAGAGCAAATAAATTAACAATTCCTATAGATATTGATAAAGTACTCTCCATTCAGGATCTAAAAAATCGATTGTCCAACCTAGTAAAGGAAATTCCATTGTCCCATTAAATTTGCTAGTACTCAAATAAACTGATTATAATAATGATAGTATGTTACCTATTGAATAAACGGTGGCAATTGCAATGTAGAAACACCATATAACCAAAACTACATATTCTTAATAATTACAATAATTATACCTTTAACCATCTTTATTCTGTTTATAATAATATATAATCTTAAATTAGTAAAATATAGCACATAATAAAATACTATTAAAGTTTTATTATAATCATCAATTATCTTCATCAACATCAGAGTGTTCATCATCATCTTCTTTAATCATAGGTTAAGAAATTCTTTCATTTATCAAAGTACTCGAGAATACCAGTTCCATTAAATTTTTTGATTCTTGTAAATGTTTCTTTTTGCTAAGTGGTGGAGGATACATAGGATCAATAGCAATTTTAATTGTATTCTCTATCAAATGAGTTATTAATCTAGCTAATAATGGACAACAAGTTTCTAAACAAGGATTTGTATTAACTTCTATCAACCATGGTTTCATATCTGAATCAATCATAAAATCTAATCCGAATAACTCAAAAGAATAGAAAAGTTTATTTGGATTTAAGTGTTAATAAGTTGCTTTAACAATATCAATACTAAGTTTTTTTAATTGATCAAGTATTATTTAGAAGTTATAATTATGTTGATCATTTAAATACTTTTAAAATTCATTATAAGATATCTAATTAATTAAATAATATAAATACTTTATTTCCTGTTTCAAATTTTCCATAATTTTGATTCTTCTTTTAAACTGCATCATTTGTGAGATGAGTAAATTTATCTTCAACATCATCTAAATTAAATTCCTTACAACTTGTCCTTATGTATCCTTCTTAGTACCAATATGCTTTAAATGTATTATTTACACATGTCATAAGCATATAACATCGAATATCAAATTTTCTTTTATTATATAATAATGGTTTTTCTAGATATTTTTAGATAATGAATGTCTTTTTAGAATTGTTTAAATGAAGATTCTATTGAGAAATTATTTATTTAACTTTAGTTATAGAATTGGCTACCTAAATACCATTTCCTCGATTTGATGATTCTCCTGGTTTTATTATCCAAACATTAATATTATTTGTTTTTGCAAATTCTTCAAATTCTAAAAATGCTGGATCATTTAATCCTGTTTTAACATGATATGTTAATGGTATAAATTAAAAAGGATCTTCATTAATAGAAAGATAATAATTTTTCATATTGTAAAATAATGCTTTTTTATTACAAACTTAGAAATTGCATTCTAAATGGTTATGTACTCTAAGAATACTACTTTAATTAAATAATTAAAATTCTGATTCTTCAATATTATATTTAATCTTATCATTAATTAACTTTTTTTATTATTTTGTAAATTAAACATTTTCCAATTAAAATTATTTTACTGAATCATATTCTTATTATTTTCTTAATTATGTCCAATATAAATTTAAATCTTCATTTGGTTGATCTATCAATATCCACCAAGGTCTTAATTTTAAAGATTATCTTATTAAAGTTCCATTATTTCCTTTTGTAATAAATGCTTTATAAAATGTTCTTTCAGGAGGTACAACATTAATATTATTTGTAAATGCAATCATAATTGGTAATTCAATAATTTCTTAATTTTCTTTATTTATTTCATTTTTGTTAGTTATTGTTTTTTTAACTTAAAATTACTTTTAAGGAATTAATCTTAATTCTTTTTTACATTTTTCTTATGAATTTGAATCTGGTAGAGTTTCTAATAAATTTTTCTTCATTAATAATTTAGTTTCACTAGATTTTCTATTATGTATTTCAATTCTTGGAGGATAAGAAAGGACAGTTGGTAATAATTAGGGAGTGCATTAAGAACATGTTTTCATTTATTGTTGATCTTATTATTATTTAATCATTAGATCAAAGAATTACTAAAATCCTTTCATTCGAAGAGAATTTAATTTAGGATGGTATTATTTAACAGATTGTAATTAAGTGGAATCTGCACATTTAGTATTACCTTTAATAAATAGGAATTCTATTCCATGGTTTTACATAATAAAATAAAATTAATTATCAATAAATAGATGAATAATTATACATTAAATTATTAAGAATAAAACTTATTTTATATTAAAATAATATTAATACATATTTCAAAAATATTAAAAAGAGTGAAATTATTTATCTATTTTAGTTAATAAATAATATTTAAATTTATAGAAGATATTTTTATTATATTATACTTAATAATACTTTATAATAGTTATTTAAATTTTTAAGTAAAATTGGATATATTGTAAAATTCATTGATAATTAATAATTATATAATAAATATAATAACAATAATTAAGTTAGTAAGTATTTAATAAATTATAAATAGAATTATAGATGTCTATCTTAAAATGAAGTTATATTAAATAATAAAAATCAAATGGATTATTTACAACCTAAATTATATTATAATAAAATATATTATAGATTAATAAACTTAAAGTTGTATTAATTAGAATTCATATATGGATGAGTATTATACTTTTATATATTTTATATAATTAGTCTACCAATTTCTAATGATTTAAATAAGTATACAATCTATAATAATATTATAATTATAAATTATTAATTCAATTTAAATAAAGAAAGTAGAATAAATTATCAAATTTTAACTTTAGAATTTTTTCCCACATTACTGAAAATAATTAAACACAAATTGAGTATTACAAATTTGATAATATCTAAGAGTATGAGTCCAAAGAGCAATCTGGTATAAAACTCTAATTTTTCTGCATTGAAAGATATTAAAATTAATAAAATAGGTTCAAAAACCATGACTTCTATACTTTTTAGGATATAACTACTAATAATGATAGTGTTTTCTGAATTATTTTTATTTCTAAAAGGGTACATTGGAATCCATTATAGTTCTATTGGTAATATAATGAACATAATTGTTCTTAATGAGAGGATTTAATCTTTATAATTAATTGGTTTGAGATCTTCTTAATTTGGACAAATCTCTTAAATGAAATTGGCTCTAAACACATAACTCATAGGTAGATAGGATCTATTTTAGAGATTGTATTTATCCATGAAAATCAATTTAGATGTTGTAAGTAAATGTAAAATTCTAGGAATCTATATAAATATTATAAAATAAGCTGTAACAGTCTTATCTTCATAAGGATCTATTATTTTGTTTTCATCAACTGTTCCTATACAAAAAAACACTAATATCAGTAATCTTAAACATATATCCAACATAATATTAGACAATAACCAGATTTTCATTCTAGGATTATTTGTTATATACTCCAAATACAAAAATGTTATATTGATTGGAACAATTTCTTTTTTAAATGAAGGTTTCAATTCTTTAACTTCTCTCCCTACAAGCCTTAACTAAATCAGTGATTATTATGACTCTTAGGTTTGTTGAGTGGAAATGGGAGAATCTTAAGATTCGTAATTATTGACAATCTGCATTTCTACATTAATTGATGTTGCATCTCTTTTTTCTTTCGGGTCATCATCTAAACTGCGAAAGCTGTTACTCTACTCTTGATCATGACGTAAAGAGAAAAATAGACTTGATTGAGGCTCATTCCTTTCATTGCTTTCGATTATTATTGATTACATAATAATTATAATTTAATATAGAATATTTGTATTCTTTGAATCTAGTTAGAAAGCATAATCATAATGAGTTTATTTAATTTATAATCATCTTTTTTTTGTAGATCAAAGTTATATAGATGGATTAAGACTTGAAATTTAACTTAAATGATTCATAAATCTATGTATTTTTCAATCCATTGTATTATCAATAAATCTTATATATATATATAATATTATATACAAATAAAGTACTCACCAAGATATATGAAATATCAAATCAAATTCTTTTGAATATAGAGATCCATAACTATATTATTCTGATTTTTATATTGTTAATACATTAATAATATAATGATACTTAAAAATATATTGTATAAATAAAGTATGGAATGAATTAAATACTTTTGAATTTTTTACTTATAACATTATAAATCATACTAATTATCCAAAAAAGCTTTAACATATATACTTCATTTTATATAAATCAGTTGCAATAGAAATAAGATTCATGATCAATCTTTCTAAGTTTGGTCTATTTGAAAATAATTATTTCTATTTTAGTAAGATAATAATTAAAACAACATTAAGGAAGCTTCCAAAGTTTATGCAAAATGTAATTCTAAATAATTTATATAAAGAATTACTAACATATTCTTCTAATGATGTAAAGATTTAAGTTATAAGAATAAAGAAAACACATTTATCTTGTTTAATAAAAATGTATAATCAAAAATTTCATTAAAATTGCTATTGTTATTGTAATGTCAGATGCTAAATTTATAGAATATGTTTCAGCTAATACAATATCATCTGTAAAGTTATCAAGAAAGTCTCCAAAATAAAAATACAATTGATTAATTATTATTATGATAATAATCATGAGGTTCATCTCTTTAACCTCTCAAATTCTTCAATTTAATAATGAATAAATCAAAGAATGCAAAAATAAGACACCACCCAAAATTAAACAGATTTAAGATTTATTGCGATCATTATTCTATTAATAATTTCCTAAGATTTATGGCAACATATGAAAAAACACATCTCCTATTATTGTTCCAAATGAAAATACTGATTATTTATATCACTTATTTCTTGATTCTTACCATCTGATAAGATTTCTTCTGATATTGATTTGATTAAATAATTTATTCTACTTATTCTAATGAGAGACATCCATATTTATTTAAAAATATCTTATAGGGATCAGATACTTTTGTACAATTAATTAAGCATATTATAATGAGAAGAATAGTTTTGATTATTAATTAATTAATAAATGCGAAAATCCTAGAAAATGCCCTCCTAATAATAAATGAAGAATATAATAACACCAACAGTTACATAACAAATAACTTATAGTCCTGAATTATCTCCAATAAATAAACCACAAAAATAAATGACTAGAAAGACATCCATGATTGAATTGTATAGGGTTGAAAGTGAATCAATTAGAATTAGACCTCAAAGAGTTTTATAAATTATTAAAGATGCAAAGCAATAATTATTTTCTTAATAAAATCCTCGAAATGAAAAAAAACTAAAGCCAAGAGTGGAAACATCTGAAGGTTAAAATAGAGGTCTAGATTTTACATTCGCATAGAATTTCTCAAACAAGTAAATTATAATGAAAGAATTCTCCTCAAATGGTCTCAGAAAAAAATTCTTTGTATGATCAAACATTAATGATGATTTATATCATTCACATTTTAGTAACAGTCTTCTTTATTAATTTAATTTTATAATAAAGATAACCTTATTAATCTTAAAAAATTTAATAATAAACATCTCTTTAATATACCTACTTAATTATTATTATTTAATAGAACATCTATTATTTAAGTTATAGATTTTTCATTAATATCATGTATATAATTATAATATTGAATTATCTAATTATATTATTATTATTATTTGCTATTTTAAAGAATGAATAATTAGAAAATAGTTTATTTTGTAATTATCAAATTTAAATTAGATGGATTCAATGAATTTAGTAATGTATATTGTACTTTAGATATAAATTTTACATTGATTTTCTTTTTTTAAAGATATAATTCAATTGCTAATTATCCACTTAATTGTCTTTTGCAAATCTCCTTCATTCTTTTTTAGCCATCTTGTTGCTTAAAATCTATCAACATCAAATTCTTTGACAATTAAGTCAATATGTGCTTCATTTAATTTAATTGTCTCCTATTATATTTCAACTGGCTTGATATTAATTAAACAATATACTTATTCTGTTCCAGAGACTTCAACTTCCTAATCTTCATTTCTCATCACAATTTTCTGATTCATTAAATTTTAATAACAAATTTAATATTATTAGTTAATTTTATCTATAAGTTAAAATGTATATAAATAAAAGAAGATGTAATAAAATAATGGAATTGATTTTTTTAGATTATAAGAATTAATTGATAATTTAATATAATTAATGGAAAGTAAACTATAAAATTTTGAGATCCTAAACAAATTAGGTAATAATGAATGCTTGATTTTGTAGGTTCTGGAGCTTATTCATCTGTGTACAAAGTGTAAAGGAAGTCTGATGGGAAATTATACGCTTTGAAGAAAGTATTTGGAGTGATTTACAGGAATAGGTGAAATTGATGGATATAGGCGATAGAGAGAAACAAAATGCATTGAATGAAGTTCGGTTCATAGCATCAATTCATCATGAGAATGTTGTTTCATATAAAGAATGCTTTATTGAGGATAATAATTTATGGTATGGCAGTTGTTATAATAAAGTATAATAATGGAGTATGCCGAGTAAGGAGATTTATTATAAAAGATTTAAAGATATGTAAAAAAACAATAGATGATTCCAGAGTTAGAAATATGGCAAGTGGCAATATAAGTGTTATAAGGTTTAAGAGCATTACATCATAAAAAAATATTGCATAGAGATTTGAAGTGTGCAAATATCTTCTTATATGAAAATGATCAGGTAAAACTTGGAGATTTTAATGTATCTAAATTGGCTAAAAATGGACTTGTCTATACATAAACTGGTACTCCCTATTATGCAAGTCCTGAAGTTTGGTAAGACAAACCTTATGATCATAAGGCAGATATTTGGTCATTAGGATGTGTCATATATGAAATGTGTGCCTTGAAACCGTATACTTATTCCCATATTCTATTATTAGACCTTTTAGAGCCAAAGATATGGATGGTCTATATAAATCTGTATTAAGAGGACAATATTAACCAATTCCTATTCTCTATTCTTAAGAATTAGTATAATTGATCAAAAGTATGATGCAAGTTCAACCTTCAAATCGTCCAGATTGTGGTATATTAAATATACTTATTATTATTAAGATAAATTACTTCAGTTACCCTTCCTTTAAAAGAAAGCCAAATAATATGGGATTCCTTTGATTAATGATGAAATCGAAGATGATTTATTGAAGACTATTAAATGGCCTATTACTAGAAAAGGGTTATAAGCAAATAAATCTGAACTCATAAATTTAAATTGTTAATTACCTGGTAGTAATTATTTGAATTAACACAATTCCAATCACATTAAAAGAAAAGATTAATCTAATAGAATAAGATCTTAGGATACTAATGATTCCATATCTTTAAATTAACCTAATGAAGCTTTACATTAATTAATGAAATAAATAACTTAATTAGATTAAAAAGAAGTAGAAAAAACTTCAAATGTTAATCCAAATTTAAATAAATCTATATCAAAATAGGCAATCTAAGAAAATATCTTACCAATTGACCGAAGATTACGAGTATCCAATTCTACTCATGAAAAGCATGAGAGATATGAACCAAATTAACAATCGTAAATTATTAAATAGAATCTCTAGTAAATGTGCTTCTAAGGATAGACTAGACCATCAAATATAAATCAATTCTAATTATTATGCTAAAGATGTGATCCAATCACTTAATAAATAGCATTATTCATAAAAATTACCTATGATTAGTGGCACTTAAAGACAAGAGGAAGAGTATATTTTAAGGAAAAACTCTTCAAATGAAAGAAACCCTAGTAGTTATCTTAAAAGATCACAGCATGAAACTTAAAAGAAAGATTTATCTATGTAACCTAGTGCTGAAAGACCAACAGCTTTAATGAAAATAATTGAGGAACATTAATAATTACCTAAAATAAAAAAGAAATACTGAAATATCTAATTTTCCATATTACCAATTAATTAAAATTAACAGAAATAATATATATATTATAACAAATAAATGGACATGTTTTTTGAATTAAACAAATTTAGAAAATCAATTAAACAAGAAGTATTAAGTAGACCAAGATCATAAATGAGATAGTCATAATTAAAAAGAAAGATGTCAAGTATTAGAAATAGTGTTCATGGAAGTTTGCATGGCAGTGGAAACAATAGTTTACATAATAGTGCTTAAAGATAATGTAATAATACAATAGGTTAAGTACTGCCATTTCATAAAATCAAAGAAATTTAATAAACTTTATTAGAATGTAATTACATTAATGACCTTTCTGTTTATTATGTAGAAGAATTAGTAAGATTTGCTAGTTTAGTAATGGAAAAAGTAGTTAAAGTTAGAGGTCATAAATGATATTAATTAATTATTTCTAATCTTATTCAAATTTATTATATCAATTGTTGAAACAGATATATAAAATTTATATTCATTAATAAAAAAAACATTAATTATTAATTTATTTATCATTTTTAATTTGTGTAATACCAAATGTTTACATATTAGATAATTTGTTATTTATTTGTTTGCATAATCATATTCATTTCATTTAACAAATATCTCATATTAACTAATTATACTTATAAATTTAATTTATTTAAAGAAATAACTTTTATTTTATATAATAGATTATTAATTAAATAATATTCATAAGTATATAAATTCTAATAATATTTGTTTACTTATAATAGCTATTTAATTAATAATTATGATTTCTATTTCTGAAATGATTTAAATATAAGATATACATAGAAGAAGTAAATAATATACTATATCATCAATTACTATTTATTTAATAATTATCATTTCGAATGCTGTTTGGAATCAGTTTTTATTTTATTATTTAAATTCTATAGGATTTTAAGTTTGTTATTTAATTTATTATTAAATGATAAATCTATATACATTGATTTTCATCACAAAAATACTTTTTTAATTGAATTTTGAAATTATTAAGATCTGGATAAAAGATAGACTATAATATAAGTTAAGATAGAAAGTATAGATTAAATTGATTTTGTGATTAGAAATATAAATACTTGATCTTTGAGATAATTTAAGATTATTTTCAATTTTTTGTTATGTATTTTTTTATAATTTTGGTTGGTAGTTAAGTATCCTTAAAGATGGTTATCTAATAGATATCCTATTTAGATTCTAAACATAAGTAATTGAGTGTTTTATGTAGATATTGACATGTGTAGAGAAATATTTGTTATAATAATATTGTAGGGGGTACAATGATTATAAAATGATATATAATAATAAAATGATTGAGACCTAGAAACTAGTGCATCGCAAATTATCTATTTTGGGATATCCATTGAATGAGTTCTTTGCTTTGGATAGTTTAAAGCTGAAGATTACAAAAAAGAACTTCACTTGCCAATTACATCCAGGAATATCAATAGACATACCAAAATAGATTTAAAAGTTTTATCGGAAGCGCTTCTTTCTTTTTAAAAAGTTCAATGAGGGCATATAATTAGATGAGGAATCTTGGTATTCTGTGATACCTGAGGTAGAATTTTGTTTAATGAATTAAGGAGATGAGCATTCATATTGCAAATAAATTGAAAGCTAGTTCTCCAGATTCTGATGTAATAGATGGATTTTGTGGTTCTGGAGGTCTAGCTATTCAATTGGCCAAATGTTTTAAAACAGTGATTTGTATAGATATTGATCCCATGTAAAATTAAATATTTTATAAACTTAGAAAGATCAATAATATTACCAATAATTTGTAAGTGTATGAATCCATAGCAACTGTTATTTAGATGAATTTTCTCGAGTACACTCATACCAATTAAGATTTTATTCTCATTATGTGTCCACCATGGTATTATCTCTATTAACTTAGGGGTGGATTGAATTACTCGCATTAACCTTATGATCTTAATAGTATGAAACCATCTCTAGAAGATCTATTGACAAAAGGACTATAGATGACTAGCAAAATAGTTCTTCAATTACCTAAAAACATTGATATACAATAACTGGTCAGTATTTTTAAGGATGTCACTGACAAACTAAGATTAGAACTTAAACCCATAGAAGTTGAGATGATGCTCATCAATGAGCAAATTAATTAATTAATTATTTACTATGGGTTATGAAATCAATTTATTAATTTATTAATTCTTTCTCTTTTATAATAAATATATTGGTGGTTAATATTTTCCATATAATTATTTCATGTTAATCTTTAATTAAAGAGACAATATAATCTTATACATCATTAAAATTTCATACTAAAGTTCTAAATAATCTAATTCTTAACCATTAGCATCTAATTGTAACTTTTTCTTAATTAACTTATATCTCCATATAAAATATAATAACTATTCCATCTAGTTATAAAATGAAAACAAAGAAAACGATATTATTGAAATCAAAACAAAAATAAGTTAATCATAGTCATTAATTTCTATGTCTCTTTTTTAAGAAATTCAATAAATTTTATAAATCCTATACAAAATCAATTTCAAAGTTAACCAATACTAAAAATTACTTAATTTCTATTATTTTAGACTTCTGTCTTAATCATTTTATTTAAATAATAAAAAGGCTATAAAATATAATCATTAGAATTTTACATTTTTCTCAAACTAATCTTTTTTTTTATTAGAATTATAAACATATTTCATCCAAATATTTTTAGTGTATTAAAAATCAATCCTACGTTACATCTATTAATAATAATAATTTAATTTTATAATAAATTATTTTTTTTAAGTTTCTATAATAATTATAAATAGTTCTTAAAATAATACTGCATAATCTAAGCTTGAAAATTATCTATAAGAGAGTATAGAAGATTTTAATAATATAATATTTATCTCCTTCATGAATTGTTAGATTATGTAGATAAAATATTTCTTTTTCTAAATATGATTTTAAATAATCAAATAACAGTTATAACATCAAATCCCTTTTATCCCTTACTCTCTCAATGATGATTAAAATTCTTTTAAATAATTATCTTATTCCCATTTAATGAGTATTAGGTTTAATTCTGACTTAAGTTCAATATTCTTTCATTAAGAGTACTTGAATGATAAAAACATAAAAATATATTATTTTCAATAATACATTAACAATATGATTGTCAAAATTAAAAACATTATTTATATATATTATATTTTGATTATTATGACTGATTTAGAAAGTGTAAGAAAAGAGATTACAAGATTGTAAACAGAGAATGCTAAATTAACAACAAAAGTAGTGAGAAATAGAAAAATAATTGCATAAAAAGAAGAAACATATGTTAAGGTTTAAGACATTGCAAATGAAGAGGAAACATTTGATTCTGATTCAACATAAGCATCTTTTAAGATTAAATAATTACCTAATGGAATGGATAAAGTAAGAGAACTTTATAAAACTATTTGTTAATGTGGAGATGCAGCAAAATTTAAGTTATTATCTATTATATTTATTAAGTGGGTTTTGTGAGAAATGTGTTAAGAAAATGAAAGAAGATTATGAAAAAGCCATGAATGATTACTTACCTATATCAACTTAATATGAGAAAGTTTATTCTAATAATGTAAATAAAGAAGTGAAAATGTTATCAATTAAAAATAAAATTGATAATATGAAACAAAAAATAAAAGAAGGTGATATTAGTTTTTAAGATGGTGACCTAAAAATATTATAAGATGAAATAGATTATTTAAGAAAATAAATTAAAGTTACATAAATGGATGTATTTTATAAATATTATATATTTAGTATGAAGTTTAATAAAAAGAGTTTACCAGATATGTTGAAGAATAAAATAAAGTCTAGGAAGATTTAGAAATGAGATTAGCTAAAAAAGAAGACAAGATTTAAAAAATTAAATAATAAATTGATGAATTGCTCATAAAAAATAAAAAAATTGAAGAGAACATTGGTTTTGCAAAAGAAGAGTTGGAAAGCTATGTAAAGTGAATCATTTCATAATTATACTACTTATATTTAAGATAAAATATATTATTATAATCAAACATAAATGACTTATTTCATATCATCCTATATCGAGATGCAAGTTAATATATATAAAAAAAGAATTATTTTATAATTTTTTAATTAAGTAGAAACACTATTAATGTTTTATTCCGTTAATCTTCATATTTTCAATTCTATATTCCATTTCAGATTATAATTTTTTCTAATTTATTTTTTCTTATCTTATAGGTTCTGTTTTATAAAAACAAAAATTAAAATTTTATCTAAGAAACAATATTTTGGATTATTCAAAACTAATCCTTATCTCATTCAAAGTCTATCAATTTTTAAAGTATTTATTTGAAGTATAATATAGCAATAAATCTGTTATCGAATTATGAAACTCTGTTTCTTTTATAAAAAATAATGTTAAGTTTCTACTTTCAATTAGAGTCACCCTATCATAGTAATTAATTCATTGACTCTAAAATAAAAAAATCCCATAAAAGTTCTAAGTATTTTCAGTTCCTTAGCAAGATTTAAAATTCCCCTTATATTTATTTCCTTTAAAGATTTAATTATCAATATTCATAGTCTCGATTTATAATAATAGAGATATATTATCAATCTCCATAAAAATATCCTATTTTTGTATTTAATTTATATTATTAAATTAATAATTCTCTATCATGAGAATATTTATTAGTTCAATTTTTACACTTGTATAATACAGATTTTGATTTACATAATTCTATTTTGATTATTTTTTTTAAATAAGAGAATTTAATGAATTCACTATTTTAATAAATCGAATTATTCTCCTTTTAATTCTTAAATTAACAATCGTTATCTTAGAGATTAAGAGTATATATGACAAACTAAAGGTTTTAATCTCAATTAGGTTTATATCCAACTATATATCATAAATAATAATTTCAATAAAGGTAGACAGCATAGACTGTTACCAAACAAAATAATGAATCATTTATGAAGGTTTCTGAAACACACATATCTGTGTCATAGTCCCAAAAGCATTTCGAACCAACTCTCACTCCTTATCCTAATTAATAGATTAATCCAAAAATTACCTCTTTATTAACCAATTAAAACATGTACTATAAACTTGTATCTGCTTGTAACAGTATATTGTTATTTAAGTCTATTTTTTATATTTTCAGCAATGTCTTTGGATTGAGTTGTTACATCCTAATATGATCCTGTTTTCAATTTTTATTATAATATTTCTTAAATTAATTCTCTACATTTAGAGGATTTAAATTTTTCTCTTGGTTTTGGTTTGATTTAATATTCTTAATTTTGTTATTACGGTTTTTTAAGCATTTTGATTAATATTTATTAAATATATTTAATTATAATTACTTAGTTGATTTAAATATCACATTTTCCTTATAAGTTAATTATCTTGAATTTTGATGGTGAAAAATAAATTAATACAAAAACTTATAATATTGAAAATTAATAATACTCTCAACGGCAATCATTCTTAAGTTTAATTTACTCAATTCTATCATAAAAATAATATAATAATTAAATGAGTTAATAATATTATACTTAAAAATGCTCAGCTTTTAATTTCTAATTTCATTTGAGCTTATGAATTTTTGTTTTATTATTATTATGATGAATTATATTATCCTTATTTTCATCTTGGATACATATTCAATAATCATTCTAATAATATTCCAAAAATTATAATTACTCATTCACAAAAATAGATTAATTTATATATATTACAAATTATTCCTTAGTTTGATATATACTTGTATATGTTTTATAATTTCTTCAGAACTGTGTTTATTTGACTAAAAGAAATTTCATTAAAAACATAATCATTAAATCTTATTATTTGACTTCTTTTAAATAATATGATAAGCTTGAGCCCTAAACAATCTAAAAAGCAAAAATATAAGTCTGTTAGTTCAGATGAAAGATAACAAATTATCAAACTGTTTTTGGAAAATGTATATTCTGCTAACCAAGTATTTTAAATTTATAGTACAGATAGCTAACCTTACAGGCCATAATTTATCAACTATTAAAGCTATATACAGAATATATAAAAATGAAGGTAGAATATATAAAAAAGAAAAGAGAGATAAACAAACTAAAATAAAACAAAATGTTATTGTGTTAGTGGTTGATGAAAAGTACCCAATTTATACTATAATTGTAGAACAAGACATTTGAATATTATAGCTAAATAATAATAAAAAAAAGAATTAATCATAAAGAATGAAGACATTCCTTATTTATCATTTGAGAATACAATTAATGAGACTTTTTTAAATTCTGCTGGTGATGTCCTTAAACATTTAGATAGTTTGGAATCAAAATAATGCTTCAATTAAACAATAAAAAAGGTCAAGATTCAAGGTTTAGATATCAAAGACTTTCAAGAGATTAAAGAAAACACAAATCAAGTTAAAGAGAGAATTAAGATTTAATCTTAAATTTAATAATTTCAAAATCTTTTTTCTTCATAAGAATTGCCAAATAAGCAAAAAAAATAGCCCTCACTTCCAAAAAACCTTTAATTATTACCAAATTCAAATATATCTGACCTTAAAAATATTTTAGAATTCTAAATTAATGACTATTTTCAAAAATCTTCTAATGATAATTTTTGATGATATAATTAATATTTATATATTTTAATTATTAATATCTAATCATTTAATTAGTATGAAGATTAATAAAAACTCAAAGTCTTAATTTAACTTTAAATTATTCTTACCTTTTTCGATATATGTGTTAATCATTAAGAGAATAATTTTATTTTAATTTATTATTTTGATCCTAATTATCTATTTCATTTTCTATTAATAACTGAAATTGTACTAAAAAAATAAAGTTGAAAATAAATAAGCTTTTCTAAGCTTCTTTTGAAGAATTTTTGAATTAATTTTTTTTAGTCTTATGTTATTTTTTTTGTAAAATATTGAAAAAATTAATCAAGTGTGAACTTAAATTATAAACTATATGAAGATAATTTGTAAATAATGACAATCTTAAAGCTGACTTAAATAATGTATTAGCGTATAAAAAAGAATTAAAAATGAAAAGAAATTCAAGAATACATATAGATTTATTAAGTCATGAAAATATTAGAGTCTTGCCTTGAAAATTTCTTTCCTTCATTAATTCATTTATTTAGATGAATTCAAAAATTTTAATGAGGTTAACAAATAATTATTTATATATATATTTTAATAGTGCTAAATTTGATTAAGTTTGAATAATTGAGAGGGTTTCCTATTTAAGAATTAATTACTCTGATTTAAATGAAAATAGCAAGTTAATGTACTTATATGTATTATAGATTTTATTTTTCATTTTTCAACTTTAAGCTCTCCAGAATTAATTCTTCCAATAATTGTTTTTACTGGTTATCCATCAACTGTGGCTCCCAAAGATTATGCAGTTCCTAAAACTTATTTGACTGTTCCTGTAAATGTTTTAGCCAATGACTTTTCTTCAATAGCTCTAGCAACTTTGATGACTTATTCAAGTGTTAAATTTCCATTGTGTTTAACATTCTTTGTCTTCTTTCTATCTCTCTCATAACCCTAAAGTCATTAATTATTTAAATACTCCAATTTCTTTAATGAGCAATGCACTTGAGGTAGGAATGACTGTAACATCAGCATTTCTATTTTAGCATCTCAAGTTAACCATAACTCTGATACCCTTCCATTTTCCACTTTCAGCAATAATTTTATCACCGACTTATTTTGGGTTCTTATTAATAAGCTATTAAATTTACAAGACCGAGAGGTCCCAATTTTGGAGCAAGAGTGGATGCTGGACCACCTTCTCCTCCGAACACTTTGATGTTAATCAATCTAACTTCATTTGGGTCAACTTTGGGAGGCATTAAAAAAGATTTAAATTTTTTTTAATTCTTTTTTTTTTAGTTTTCGAGAAAATAAGGAAAAGAATTTTGGAAATCCTTAAAATATCACTAAACTTTGTAAAATTAAATAAAGAAGATATCAAATTCTAGTTCACATCTATATATATGTTAACTTATATTAAAGTTGATAAATTGATTAGTCTTCCAGTTTTTCTGATAATGCAACATAAAAACAAATTTTTTGTTGTTAAAAAGATTGAGGAACATTAAAAATAACTTAATGATTTACATAAAGTTAAAATTTATAGTTTCAGTTCTCTATTATAAATTATCACTGAATTCCATATTAAGATATATGATGATTTAAAAAAGTTGTTGTCTAATTTCTAGTCTTAACATATTTTGGATATCCTTCTTCATCAAGAAAGGCTTCTCTGCAAATAGGACAATTTTTTTGTTTTTACAGCCATTAGTTTAAACATACTTCATGTAAAGTATGTTTACACGGTGTGATCCTGCATGGTTTTTAATCTAAAAGGTCTAAACAAATGATGCATTCTTGATCTTTTGCTGGATCCACTATTCCCATTAGATGCAATAATCCCTTCTATGAATTCAGGCTTTAATTACCTTTCTGCTTTTTCTCTTACATATATTAACATCGCTTTTTAACTATATAAATAATAACCAATAATATTATAAATGACACTATGCTCAATATTATTACTAGTATAAAGTCTTAAAATTAATTATCATTATCTATTAATTCAGATTTAATGGTAAAGTTTAGTGTTAAAAAATATGGATTTTATAGCATAAAGACAAATGAATAATTGGCAGATCTTAAATGATAAGATTCAAATTTATTAGAAAAATCTATTTCTTAACCTTCTTAATCAATTATCCCATCAAATACTAATTTACTATTTTTTAATGATTTGTAAGGTATTTCAAATGGAAACAAAAAATAAATTGTTGCATTAATTGAAGGACTCACAGTAAACCTGACGTTCCTTATCTACCTCAATTTTCATAAAAAATAATACTACTAATCATCCACAATGTCATCCTATTGCAAATAAATTGCAATTATTTTACTTTAAAAAGGTATCATTTCAATATAATAAGTACTTCTATCAAAAATAGGCTCAATATCATATTAACATCTATCGCTAGAAATATTTTTGCCCATATCTTACCCTGCTATAAATTCAAAGCATTGGCATTCTAACTTTTAGCATAAACCTTTTTAAGAGCAATTGTTAGGACAATCCCTTTTCTCCACTTGATTTATTTTATACGTATCCTCAGGTTAAATATAAATGTCCAAATCATATTATTTACCCTGTTCAACTTGATAATACATTTGTAAGTATTATGTGTAATTTTTCTAAAGTGAACTTTGGATTACATATTCTTCAGCTACTTCTATTTTCATAAATGTCCATGCCTCACTAAAAATTTCAATAAGGACATATTGATGTTTTGCAGTAAAACTATAAAGGATGCAGCTAATACTACATATATTTAAAAAAGTTAGAATAATCATTATAAAGAATTTATATACTAAATTTCAATTAAATGTAAGATAAAGTTTCATGGCTTTTGTATTGATCTATTTTTTAATTAATTCTGTTATTGCTATAAACTTCTACTACTATTTTTTTGTCTTCCATAAAAATAAATTTAAGTGGAATTTTTTAATAATTCAATCAACTTTTCTTTATTAGAATGCTTATTCAAGAGATCGATAGCCTTCTTGCCCTTTAATGATTAAAGATCTTTTTAAGCCTAAATTTGATATTGATTATTTACTCCATGTTCAATCAGAAATTTAATAATTTAGTAATTTATTTCTGCTTCTTTTGAATTTAATTCCATTTTTATAGAGCATAATTACATTAATAAGTGAAAACCATGAGTTTTATCAATAATCCAATTGATATCTGCTCCATAATGAAGTAATAGTTCTGCCATTTTGAAACAAATTTTACGATTTTCAAATACATTCTTCTCCTTTAAAAAAATAATAATTTAAATAAATACTTCTTCTAATCTAGCGAAACATGTTACAAATGCTGTCTAATTAAATGTATTTGGCTTGTTAACTTCTGCTCCAGCATCAAGTAATAACTTTAAAATTTCATAATTTCCTGTCATAGCTGCTACAGAAAGTGGTGTCTACCCAGAATCAACACTTGCTAAATCAACATCAACTTAACAATTTGATAATAAAAGCTTAACTATTTCTAATCTACCAAGATAACAAGCACATATAAGAGGTGATATTTTTTAATCAAGTTCAATTTCATTGAATTATTCCAAAAAATTGATGTTGACTATCAAAGTTTTTTACTTTACCTTTATTTATTCCCAATTCTTTCAAAGTATCATAATCATTTTAATGTATCAAATGCAGGATCAATTGCTACCTTAATAATAATAATTATATACGTATTCAGATAAAGGTTTCTCTAATCCTTATAACATATATTAAATTTATGTATAAAATCAATTTATAAAATTGCTATTGTCTGATATTTAATCTTATTTTAAATTAGATATACAAAATTATTATTTGTTCTGAAATTCAGGTTATTTTTAAGTATTTGAGCTAAGGCTTGATAAAATCAAATTAAAAAGATTGAATAAAATTTAGCATAAGTGTTAAGAATGATAATTAAAAAAAGAGCATTATTTGAATAATTAAAGAGAGTAGTATTTATTACTTCAAATATTTATTCTTGAATAATTATTAACAATCTTATAATGATATATATATATATTATATTTTTATATTATATTATGTTATATTATATATAAATTAAAAAGCTAGATAATTTATCATATTAAATGAGAATTAAAAATTTTAACAAATAGATTTAAATTATTGAAATTCCACCCATTATTATTTATAAGATAATGATTTTGCAATTATTAATGCAAGATATTAACCCTTGAAAAATTTTGGCAACTTCATGTGTAGCAATAATACTTTAAATTTCCACAATTATGTATTAATCCCTCTTCTACATAGTAATAATTTAAATTATTAAATTTATTTAATATTTAGATCATGATAGATTAGAATGAGTATTTAAATCTATCACTCAAAAATGAAAATAATAAAAATGTAATATTGAAATTATAAATAATTTACACTAAAAATTTTAAATCTGCCACTATATTCAAAAGATCTAATTTCCAATAATTCTTTATACACTTCAAAATTAGATTGGAAATCTTTTCCAGTACAAATAAAATTAATCTTTAGTTTACTCTTTGATTTGTGCTCAAATATCTTTAAAACTGTTTCCTAATAAATAAATCTTTTGTTATAATTAAATTTATTTTTTTGATATTTTTTTCGAATTAATAAATATTCATTAATTAACCCAGAATCATGCTATTAAACACAAATAAATGTAATTTAAGGCATAATTATTGTTATAGAACTATAAGGTCAATTTTTCTGGAAAAAATCAAATTAGAAGAAGTAGATTAGATTCACAGAAGAGATATTTATGCCACTATGTGGATTGAGCCATCATAAAAGAAAAGAAGTATTCAAACATAGGAGATCTTACCACGATTAGATGAAAGAACTGCCACATCAGTGAGAATCAGCTCACATATAAGCACTTAATTTCAGCAAAAATCAAGCCATAACATATGATTTTTTAAACCTTAATTTATTAGATATTGTAATTGGGAAATATTAACAGATATTTGGAATGAAGAAACCTTTTAAATTAACAAAAAAATAACATGGGCTGAAATAAAATGCCTAGGAACAATAAATAGTAGAATTATCTTTATTAATCCCTATGATTAAAAAGGCTTTTACTATTATTAAGATGGTGTGCCACAAGGTTCTCCAATAACACCTTGTTTATTTAACATTTAGACGGATGGAATTTAAGAAATCTATTCTAAAATTTAATTTTAGCTCCCAGTTTATACGAATAAATTTGGTTTTTATTATTAAACAATTATAGATAAAGAATTTGTGATATAATTAAAAACTTTATCAACATAATGGAAATTCTAAATAAATGAAAAGAAATCTGGTTAGTAACCAATAAAAAGTAAAATAAATTAAATAGAAATCGAAGGAATTCCAATTGTGAATTCTTATAAATCTTTAGGGGTTTAGATAGATTCAAAAGGGTAAATAAAATAACATATAAAAGATATTGAAAGAATAATGAATTATAAATTAACCATAATTAAATACATATCATTTAAAATGGACTTTAAACAAAGATTATTATAATATATCATTTATATGTAACCCTAATTTAATTATTGCTTCATGATAGAATAGTTTTAAAATAATTTAATAAGTAAACGCAGATAAAAATTATTAAAGAAAATACTTAAAAGTGCATAGAGACAGCCTAAAATACTAATAATCAATTCATCGAATTTATCATACAATATAACCAAACAAATATTTAACGAATTTTACAAAATATTAAACAAAACCAAATAAAGAAATATCACCTTCTCACCTTTTTAAAAAAAGAATTAAATAATCTAATATGCTAAAATAACGAGGCCCATCTACAAAAGATTATTTTACTTCCTAAAAATATATAGTATGTATTTAAATTAGATTGCAAAAACTGCGAAATACACTCCGATAAAATATTGACGGCAAAACTTATCTTCATCTAAATTATATGAATCAATAAAGTTTTATTATAACATAAAGCATGAAATGAGTGAGGTTTATAGATTAAATAAAAAGTAAATAATTGAGAGATTGATTGAAGAGCATATATAAAACAAAGAAAATTTAATAAAATGATTGCATTTCTATTTGTGTTGTTCCCTGAATAAGGGTTAATGTATGTATTATCAAAATGATATATTCTAATTAATAATTTAAGTCAATGAAATCAAAATATCACGTACTCTTAATTTAGTTCTTACGGCTCTATCTCTCTATATCTCATTCCTTCAATCTATCCATCTTCATAAACTTCTCTATAAGCCATGCCTTCAACGTGATTTTCTTCTTAAATTTCTTATTCTTCAACTTCTCTATATCTCATACCTTCAATCTATCCATCCTCATAAACTTCTCTATAAGCCATGCCTTCAACGTGATTTTCTTCTTAAATTTCTTATTCTTCAACTTCTCTATATCTCATACCTTCAATCTATCCATCCTCATAAACTTCTCTATAAGCCATGCCTTCAACGTGATTTTCTTCTTAAATTTCTTATTCTTCAACTTCTCTATATCTCATACCTTCAATCTATCCATCCTCATAAACTTCTCTATAAGCCATGCCTTCAACGTGATTTTCTTCTTAAATTTCTTATTCTTCAACTTCTCTATATCTCATACCTTCAATCTATCCATCCTCATAAACTTCTCTATAAGCCATGCCTTCAACGTGATTTTCTTCTTAAATTTCTTATTCTTCAACTTCTCTATATCTCATACCTTCAATCTATCCATCCTCATAAACTTCTCTATAAGCCATGCCTTCAACGTGATTTTCTTCTTAAATTTCTTATTCTTCAACTTCTCTATATCTCATACCTTCAATCTATCCATCCTCATAAACTTCTCTATAAGCCATGCCTTCAACGTGATTTTCTTCTTAAATTTCTTATTCTTCAACTTCTCTATATCTCATACCTTCAATCTATCCATCCTCATAAACTTCTCTATAAGCCATGCCTTCAACGTGATTTTCTTCTTAAATTTCTTATTCTTCAACTTCTCTATATCTCATACCTTCAATCTATCCATCCTCATAAACTTCTCTATAAGCCATGCCTTCAACGTGATTTTCTTCTTAAATTTCTTATTCTTCAACTTCTCTATATCTCATACCTTCAATCTATCCATCCTCATAAACTTCTCTATAAGCCATGCCTTCAACGTGATTTTCTTCTTAAATTTCTTATTCTTCAATTTCTCTATATCTCATACCTTCAATCTATCCATCCTCATAAACTTCTCTATAAGCCATGCCTTCGATGTGATTTTCTTCTTAAATTTCTTATTCTTCAACTTCTCTATATCTCATACCTTCAATCTATCCATCATCATAAACTTCTCTATAAGCCATCCCTTCTTTCTGTTCATTTGTATTCTGGATAATCAATAATAATATACTATATTATGCATCTATAAAAATGAATCCTTTTGAGACTCAGTTAATGTGACATCAATATCCATGGTGTTTATAACAACAGCAATTACTCCCAAAATACAAGTAATAGCAACAATTAACTTGGTTTTGTTCATCTTATTATAAATAATAATTTTGATGATGTAATAAATTTAAATATTTTCTTTTTAAAATCTCTTAGTCCATATAACTAAGAGTACTAAATAAGAATGAATTTGTTATTAAATTTCTATAGAATAATTATTAATAGTTTAAAAATACTTCTCCACAACTAGATTTGGAATTATGTCAATTCGATTTATTTATTCTATTAACTTAAGTGATGAAATAATATACATTGCAAAAATTAGATGGCTTTTGAAATTTAATAACTGAAGATAATATAAAGCTTAATAAAGATTAAAATTTTGAACTATTAGATTGGAATTAAAATTGTAGTAAATTTTCATTTACAAAATTATTTTCTAAAAATATAACATGATAAAGATTATTAAAAAAGAAAGCAATTATTTATAATAGGCAAATTACATATTTAAAAAATATAATACAAAATCTATCACTATCTTTTTCAATTTTTCATGGGCAATTGAAATCGATCTTGATAAATCGAATTTCTATTTTTGTCTTTCATTTGAAGTCATAGTCCTGTTACATTAAAATTTTGAATTAATTTTTATTAAATCCTAAGTAATTCAAAATCTTTTTTTAATTATTATTTCAAGAAGATATGTTTACTCGCTATTTGTATTCACTACTGACTAAATAATCTAAGAAAATAAAAAAATTAAATATTAATTTATTTTAGTTAATCAATTATGATTTAAATCAATTCCGTAAAGTCAATTTCAATTCAAGAACAGAACTCATTTACTTATACAATATCAAGTAATTCTTTAGGAATACTAATTACCATGAATATATACAAAAGATCATCATTTTTATAAATCTATTACATCTTCATTTAAACCAAAATATCCAAATCAGCATTTAATGCCAATCTTTATTGGCTCATTATTTTTAAAACTTTAGAATCCATTCTAAGTTTAATCTGTTATTAATGTCCTTAAAATGTTAAAATTGGGAACATAAATTTATTTTTCAACTCATTGGTAGAATTTCTTTTAATTAAATTTTCTAGGGCCAACGTTTTGGTGAATAATTCCTTTAACCTTTTTTTCTTTTCTTTAATGATACTCTTTAAGGTTTACTTAATTATTTCAATTAGTTACCAATTCTTCCTTTTAATTATCAGTCTCATTTCTTCTTGTTCTGGTTTTACCTTACATGTCCGATATAACTTTTTTACCTTCTTTCTTTAAAACTTTGGAAGCAATCATAACATTTAATGCATCATAAACTCTTCTTTTTATATTCTACTCATCTTTAGGCTCTAACTCTATTTAAATTTATACATTATCTAAATCTAACAATTAACCATCCTAACCTAAATCTTAAATCAATCTTTATGCAACATCTTTGTAAGTTGTTGATTTGAGTTCCATAACTATATCTCTAACTTTAACACTCAAATTACGCAATCCTTAAATATATTAATCTAAATACCTTTCTGGCTTCTTAAAGGGGTTTGCTCCTGATATTGATAATAATTATAATTTTTTTTTTCAATCTTTTCCGAATAAGATATATTTTTTTAAAGTGCATGATGCCTATTCATATGTTGATTATTATATTTTTAAGGTGTCATTTATTAAGTATTAACATGAACAATTTAAAATCCTGATTATTTTGTATTAGACTATTTAATCACTATTTATTTGATTTAAGGTGATTCATCATTCGATATTTAAAGCTCAAACATTTTTTAGAGAGGCTATTAATCGAAAGGGAAAAGATCTTCTTAAACTTAATTTGGTTGTGCAGAGTAATAATCTTGTATTAGTAAATTATTAGGACTGCAATTTATCCTTAATTAAAGAGGACTATATGGCTAAAATAGAATCATGTTTGGCTAACCAAAATTCATAGGAGAGGATTCAAATTCAGAACGATATTCAATTGGTGTTTAATCACACATTGATTTTTATACTATTTTTTAAATAATTATACTAAAATTCAATACGCTATTCGATTATTTTATTAGTATCCTAAATACTTATGAAAGTGAAAGATTCATTATTTAGATAGGGTTTAATCATTTTAATATTGAATTAGAATTGATCACATAATAAAAATAATGTTCTATAGTATCATTACAAAATGAAAACCCACTTTAGAAATTATCATTAATAATTATAATCTATCTTACATAATAGAATGAAGTAAATATAATTTTTCTAATAATTCTTTTTCATGAGGTACAAACCAAGATGATAATTCTACCCAATAGTTATAACAATTTAACGATTTTTTTAATATCGTACCTATAACTGCTTTTCTCAAAATCATAATCATACAATAGATTTTAGATAATTAGGACAAAATTTCAAAATTATGGAATAACTATTGTATTTTTTCTGGGTTTTTTGATAAGGATATGATATTTAAATGGTTTTGATTAATTTTTTGTAAATGTATCTTTTTTTTTATTATCCATCTCATAAAAGATTTATTTAACAATAATTATTTACTTATTGATCTCAATAAATTAAAAAAAAATTCAAAAGTCATTTTCAATAAGGAAAAGTGTTAATTTTTTAAGTGGAACTTTACCTTTTTATAGAATGATATGAGAACGGCAATTTCTGGAATTTTTCTGACTCTTCTAAACTGAATTTAAATTGATTGTTATTAATCCTAATCCTTTTCATTATTTTTAGATAATAATTATAAAATTTTTAAAGGCTTATAGTAAATGATCAAAAAAGAAATTCAAATATGAGATAAAAACCAAAAAAATAATAAAATCCTTATGAAAATCTATTTTAATTTTCCAGAAAATTATCTACTAGTTCCCATTTTAATTAAAATAATTTTTATAATAAACAAAAAATCCTCAGTCTTAAAAAAAAATAATTAAGAGAAATAAAATTTTCGTGTTATGACTGTAATAAATATATTGTAGTTTTATGTGCTAGTACAACTCTTTTTTATACTTCATTAAATAAACAAGGATAAATTGATATTGGAATAAATTTGTGTCATAAAATAACAATATATCAAGAGATTTCTTAGGATGACATCATTAAAATAACAAATAAATATCAATCCTTTTTTAATTTATTATTTTAATTTCATTTTAAGAGTCTTAAATCTTGATATTAAGTTGTAGAAATTGAAATATCGATATTTTTAGAAAATATAATTTAAATTCAAATGAAAATTTATTTTTTCATGATGATTAATAAAAAATCAAAAATTTTTACTATTAATAAGAAATATTAAAAGGTAGTACAATAAATTTCAATAATTTTAAAACTATGCATAATCAATAAATATCCCAGCCATGATAAGAATAATTTTCTCTTCAATGGTAGCAAATTCAGGAAAATTGATTCCATATGTATCAGATTTAGTACACCATTCTCTTCGAAACCCCCCAAATAAATGGCAAATCTTACCAACTTTTTAATTGTTTCTGTCCTTAATTTCAAATTCAATTTCAGCACAAGATTGACAAGGTAACATACAAAATAATCCTGGTTAACAACAACTAGCACTGATAGTATAAAGTAAAGCATTATTTTTATCAAAGCACATTAACTAATAAGAATATTTAGAGTATTTACTTTATAAAACGTACATTTGATAATTGTCCATTAAAGTTCCTCCATTACTTTTCCAATATACTAACCTCTTTAGTAAATTAACATTTCTGGTCTTTAAAAGCATAAAAAAGAGAATTTGTAAGGTTTTTCTACTTTAATATGAACTTCTGAAAATTTTCTTTAATCTACAAGTTCAAGAGATCGCTTTGAAGGAGGACAAATAAATCTCTTTTTTAAAAATGATTGAATTACCTTTACATAAATTTGGATACTTCTTTAACTTCAAAATGCACTTAACCCCAATTAGACCAATCATCTTCACAATAAATAATACTATATTCATTAGCTTATTCACAAGGTTATAAACAAGTAATGCATGGACATATAGGACAAGCACATATAAATGGAGAAAACCGTTCAATATATGATGGAGTAGAACTAATGATAACAGAAGTTTGTAGCATAAAATATTTATAATAATTATTAATTAAATTATATGAAATTTGATTATAATTTTATTTATGCTCTATAATCAAATTGATTTATCAACTTTTAATGATTAAGACTCTAATATAAGATAATATATTAATATCAAGAACATATATTAAATTAACTTTAGTTATTTTTAGAACTCCATGTTTAATGTAGACTATTTATATATATCATTTATTTTATAAGAAATAAGGATAATTAAAAAAAATACATTCTTCTTCTTTATTTTTAAATAGTTTGAGTAAAGTAAACAATTAAATTAAACATATAAGAATCCGACCTTTATGGAATGTTTAAATTAGACTTAAATTATATAATATTTCTCCCATATAATTAAAAGGATTAGAAATCTAAACCATCTGAGATATAATTTAGTCTGACTTGATTAAAGAGATGATATTTAGAAATTCATAAGACATGATAGAAATACATAAAATGGTTTAAAAATGAAAACTTATTTATAGTGAAATATTGTAATTTAAGTAATAACATTTATTGGTACGTCATCAGATTATTAATTGTGATTAATAAAAGATGTTTCTAGAAGTGTATTATTTGAGTATCTAATTACGTATTATATTGGATTTATTAAGAATTCTTATATAAATACGTATTATTTAAGTTCTAAATATAGAAGTGAAATCGTCATAAATAAATTCATTAATTATGGAGAATCAAACAGTCTAAACTTAAGAACTCTTAACAAAATGGGGACTTCGAAATACAACAGTCTATAGAAATCCAAGTGTTCCTCTCATATATTAACTCTCTATGTCTTAACAATAAAGTGAGGATCCAACTGTAAGACCAGATTCTATAAATAACACTGGTGCTTTGGTAGCATATTCAGGAAAGAAATGCGGGTATCTAATATTGTTATATAATATAGTCGTGTTCCTAAGGATAAGAGAATCATAAAAGATGAAGTCACAGAAAGAGATGTTTGGTGGGGTGATGTTAACATAGGTTTGAGCTAAGACTCATATAATGAGGTTGAAAAGATTGCTCTTGAGTATTTAAATAACAGAGAGAAAGTAACCATATAATTTTAATTATTTAGTTGTTCATCATTGATGGATATGCTGGATGGGATGTTAATTATAGATTAAGAATTAGAGTGTTTTGCACTAGACCTTATCATGCATTGTTCATGAAGAATATGTTGATTAGACCAAATGATGAGGAACTTAAGAAAGATTTCAGTGGAGATGTTGATTTTTACATTTTCAATGCTGGTCCATAAACAATTTAGAAACCTATTGAAGGAATTAAATCAGAAGGATGTGTAGCTGTTAATTTGACTGAGCGTAAGATGGTTATATTAGGAACTTAATATGCTGGTGAAATGAAGAAAGGAGTTTTTGGAGTCACTCATTATTTATTCCCAAAATAAGGAATACTCACATTACATAGTTCTGCCAATGAAGGTGAAAATGGTGATGTTACCTTATTATTTGGATTAAGTGGCACAGGTAAAACAACCTTAAGTGCTGATCCAAAAAGAAAACTTATTGGTGATGATGAACATGCTTGGTCTGACAATGGCATATTTAACATTGAAGGAGGATGTTATGCTAAATGTGTTGATCTCTCTAAAGAAAAAGAACCTGAAATATTCAATGCTATAAAATTTGGAGCTGTTTTGGAGAATATCGAATATTATTCAGAAGAAACAAGAGAAGTTGATTTCACAAATATTTCAATTACAGAAAACACAAGAGTCAGTTATCCATTGGAATATATACTAGGAGCTAAATTTCCTGCTTAAGGAAGTCATCCAAAGAATATTTTCTTTTTAACATGTGATGCTTATGGTGTTTTACCTCCAGTCTCTATGTTGACACCAGAATAAGCTATGTATCATTTCATTTCTGGATATACTGCCAAGGTTGCTGGTACTGAAGTTGGTGTCAAGGAACCATAAGCTACATTTTCAGCTTGTTTTGGAGAAGCATTTTTAGCTCTTCATCCAACTCTTTATGCTAATATGTTAGCTGAAAAGATTAAGAAATACGATACCAAAGTTTGGTTAATCAATACTGGTTGGTCAGGTGGTAAATATGGAGTAGGATAAAGAATGTCATTAAAATATACCAGAGGAATTATTGATTTGATTCATAGTGGAGAATTAAAAGATGTAGAGTTTGATAACTTCCCAATTTTCAATTTTGCTATTCCCAAATCAGCAAAAAACATTCCAACATAAATTTTGAATCCTAAAAATACATGGAAGTAAGATATTTAATTTATTTTAGAAATCCTGAAGAATTTGATAAATAAGTTCTTGAATTAGCTGAGAAATTTTAGATTAACTTCAAAAAATATGAAGATAAAGCTACATAAGAAGTAATTAATGCAGGTCCTAAATTTTGAATATGAAATTTTATTGTGTATGTTTATGAATTCATTTTCAAAATTTTATATGTTTTTTAAATTAAGAGAGAACCATATTACAACATTTTATACAAATGTGCAAATTATTGAAGTCCGAAATTGGAGGAGCAATTAATTCCCATTCAACTGAGAACATCTATTTCAATAAAAGAAAATATTGTAATTATCAAATATTAGACATGTTTATCTTCTTTTTTTTTTTTGATATAAATAAGTCGTAGATATGAAAAATTGAACTAATTCTCATCTAATTAATAAGATTAATTGAAATTTTTAATAATAAAATATGATTAAATATTTCTTGAATTAAGTTGGTTTTTTTTTTATAATGATTATTAAAAAATAGATTATTATTAGATAAAACAGCCATATATTTACTAAAGTAATTTTAACTTAAAAAATTATAGAAACATTTTAAATTATAATAGATGAAACTATAAATATATGAAATAATAGAATAATCAGTGATATATATTAGAAAGTTTAGTAAGCAAATTAATCAAATAATTATATAATTTATATTAAAATATATTTATATAATATTTTTTGTTAGTTTTTGAGTGATAATTCTCAAAATAGATTAATCAATTTGATATATCTTATAAATTTTTGTATTGTTAATTTATATTATTTTAGATTTATAGTAAACAACATTTGAAATTACTAATGTATTAATTTAAAAAATGAATAAATTTTAGTTTTCATAATTGCTTTTATGTTACTCTTTCATGTAAATTTTTTTATTTATTATTTAAGAGTATAAAGAACACAAGAATTCTCTTGTTAATTTGAAGATTATGAATAAAGCCTATTAGATTTTAATGATCCTTTTTAAAATATGTCTAAAATTGTTGAATATGAACATGATTATTGGTATTCATCTGGTTTCTGGTCTAAATACATTGAGTATTAGACAATGAATCAGAGCCATTTAATAGACTAAAAGAATATAGATATAGAGAAAGGAAGATTATTATATCTCTAAAAATAAATGAGCATCAATAACAAAAAAGAATATAATATAACAATATATTAAAAATTTTCATTTAGTACATATTATTGGAGATATAATCCTTATCACGTTTTAGAAATTTCATATGTATAGGATTCTGAAACAGAATTTTAATCGATAACTTTAGAATTAAAAAATTAAGATTTAGATGGGATATGGCATTTAACTCTTATAGAGTATAATCCAAAAGAATCAAAATTGTTATTCAAAAGTGCTGGAATAATAGATAAGATTAAAAGCATCACTTTAAAAAGTGGTCTCATAAATTATATAATAGGTGGATACGGAAAAGATGTATTTAAAATATTAATCATAGAGTTATACAAAACAATCATATAAACCATTTCAAGGATTATTATCAAAGTTGATTATTTATAACAAACATAAAGAAATAAATTTATACGATCAGATCATTAATGATTGTTAAATTCCTAAATAAATTCTAAAAATGAAGCAAATAAGTCTAGTTGATGGTGTATCTAAATTTGATGGAACTTAATATATTTATAAAGAAGCTTAGCTAATTGATTAACATTATGTTATTAGAGGTTGGATTAAAATAGATTTAAGCAAGATTTTTTTATCTGGTTAAATGTAGATATTAAGAATGACAATAAATAAATAATATTAAATGGGAAACGGTAATAATGGAGATAAGACTTTTTTCTTACTTTATAATATAAATTTAAATAATTAAGATTTTAATTCAATACTTGTCTAAACATATCATTATTACTATCCTTATAAATCAGAATATTTAAGTTCATTTTTAAACTCTGATAAATACACCTTTAAATCTAATACTTTATTATCATAAATGTAATAGTGGCATTACTTTACATTCGAATAAGGTAGAAGTCTTAATAGCGAAAGAACCCAATATAAATTATGGTTTAATTTACAAAGTGAACCTATTACTCATAATTTTTAATTTGATTAAGCTAGAAATTAGTTTTCAAACACATTAATTTATTTTTATATAGGAGGAGATAAATTTACTCCTTCTCCATATTTCTAAGGATAAATAGCATATTTAGAATTCTTGACTGGATTTATAGAGGACTTTAATATTCAAAATTTCAAATGTAATTATTAATCAATTATATAAAATAGAATGTCATTATTCATGCTAATAATGTGATGGGCCTTAATCTAATGAATGTACTAGTTGTTCTATAATTTCAAAAAGATTGTTCTTAAGTGAAACTAAAGAATGCAAATGTTAAATTAATTATCTAGATATTACCAATAATGAAATATGTTCAAATTAATTTTTAGCATTTCCAGATATTACAATTTAATAAATAAGCAATAATTAAAATAATATGTACTGTAATTTTGGTTATTTCTTAATTGAAAATAACAATAATAGAATATGTAAATAATGGTAATTAATAAATTAATTAATTTAAGTCCATTTTACAAGTAAAATCAGTATTTCTGTCTTGATTGTTATATCAATCCAATGACTTGGTATCTTCATCCAGTATGTAAAATGGATATGATTTCTAATGAAATAATAGAGGATTAAGTCTATTAATAAATTAGTAGAGATCTTATAGATTATGATGTCTTTATAATAAATTAAATTGATGAATTAGAACTTCAAATAGGTGTTCAAGACTTTTTAAAAAATTAACAAAATAATTATAATATTACTACTATTCATTTAGGACACTAAGTTTATTTATAATGTAAATCTAATTTTATTTTGGTAAATAATAAATGTATAAAATGCCCTGATAATTGTCAATAATGTAATGATGAATCAGATTGTCTTAAATGTTATAATGAATTTTATCTATCAAATAATTAATGTATAATTTGTCCTTCTATTTGTGATGAATGTTATTAAGATTAATATAGTTAAGATGTAATTTGTAAAAAATGTAAAAGGTATTTTATTAATTCTAATTATATAGCCCATATCATTATATTGATAAAACATGCAAATAATGTGGTTAATTTTGTTAAGAATGTATTGAAGATTATAATTCTGAAAATGAACAATACTTTCTTAGATGTTTGAAATGTTTAGATGATAGTTAATATTTCATTTCAAATGATGCTTAGAATTGTGAAATTAATTAAATTGATAATTGTAAATATGCTCTCAAATTAAGAATAAAATATAATGGAAAAACAACATTTACTACTCTTGATTAATATTTTCAACCATCTTATGATTCTATAACAATTAAGTGTGCTAGATGTGAAGATGGATATTAATATGATTATGATTATAATATATGTGAAATTGATATCGATTATGGAAATCAATGTCTATATAGAGTATCTTGGTATAATACATATTGCATTATTGGTAAGGAAACAATATATGAATTAACTTATGGGTGTTAAAGTGACATAGCATTTTGTACAAATTGTTTATATAATGAATTTAAAGAAAAAAAAGAATGTTATTAATGTGAATAAGGATATTATGCAAGTAGAATTTTTGGAAATTGTTAAATCTGTCCTCTAGAACTTTATTGTAAGACTTGTTATCAATAGGATAAGATATCTTAAGATAACTGGAAATAATAAGTAAGATCATTTTATTATGCTGCTATTTAATATTATGATATGAGTCATGATTTCACTGAATTTGGACAAAGTTCAGATATTAATGATTTTGAATTAGTATGTCTTGAATGTGTTTAAGGTTTTGAACTATATAATAAATAATGTATACCATAATGTCCAACTCTTTGTTTGGAATGTGTGAAAAAGAATGGTCAAAATGTATGTATTAAATGTCCTTTGGAAGTAAATTAAAGAATAATAAGTATTTATAATAATTAATGTATCCAATGTCCACCTAATTGTAAATTATGTAGAAAAAGAACTTAAGCTGAAATTTTATTAATTAATCCTTTATTTTAGAATGCTAATTATTCAGATTATAGTAATTAATGTTTAGCATTTGATTCTGATTCCAATTATTATTATAATTCATATTTTGGATTAGTTTTTTAATCAATTGATACTAATATCAAATAGGAAAATTAAATTGTATTAGAACTCAATTTGATTTGTTCTGATATTGTTTATCATAATTTAATTTTAGGTTTAAATGATGAATAGATAAATTTATTCAATCAAACCCATATATTTATTGAGGATCTTTAATATTTTACTTAATTTAATAAAGAATCATTTTACAAGATGGCAAATGATTTATAAGTAACATCATTATTGATAAAAATTATAAGTAACATAGAGTAAGAATGCTTATTTTAAGGAGACTTCTCTATATCTTAGACATTCAGTAAAAGTATTTTTACATTAATGTATAATATATATAATTATTATTTTAGACAAGTTAACCTATCAATAATCAGTATTAAAAATACTAAATTTATGATTGATAAATCTATATAATTTAATAATTTTTCAGATATTTTGATAAGTGATATAGATATTTAATTTAAAAGCAAAAAAGACTCACTTAATTTATTAATGTTCTCATCAATATTAAACAATTTTTAAGTGTAATTTTACAACATTAGATTTTCATAATAAAATAATAATTCTGTTTAATTCATATTTTAAAAGGTTTCATATATCTACTTTCAAAATTTAACATTCAATGAATTCATTTTAAAATAACAAAATTAAACTACTCCACTTATTTTAATCAACTTTGACAAAAATGTTAAGAATTTTATTAAAATTAATTTATTACTATTTCTAAATTGTCATATATATGATACTGATGTTTTAACTTTAAATGATGACAATTTAATATCTGAATTTAATAATATCCATTTAACTGGTATATTCTCGAATTGTACATTTATTAAAACTATCACTTCTACTATATCTACAATAACAATCAGTAACTTCTCTTTTTAAGGAGAACTTTATAATAGCAATGGATTCTTGTAATTATCAGATTTTTCAGATATATTCTTATAATAATTATCAATAACACATTCATTAATTTAATAGACTAATTTAATAATATTAAACAATAATTCAAGAATTCAAGAATTTAATTGTTCAAAGAATATTATGTTAAATTAAAGTAAAATTTTAATTAATGTGGAGAATATTAATACAAAATATTTCTCATTATAAATATACTTTATTGTATTTGTACAGAATCAATATGATTAATTATGTAATTTTTTAAAAATAAGGCATTTTGATTATATTCATTCTTAAATCACTATTAATAACATTTAAATTATAGAAAATACTATATATTTAAATGAAATTCTGAATGATACTATTAAATATGAAATAGCTTTGATTAATTTAGATGTTTAAGATGTTAATATAATATAAATATTCTTATTAAGAGGATATGGTATAAGTGAATTAAGAATTATTAATTCTTAGTATTTATTAATCAAGAATATGGAAGTCTAGTTAAGTGATAAGTATATTATAAAAGGAATCCATAAATATTTAGATTGTTGGATTGATTATGTGTAAAAAGACTTCTATACTATATTTTTAATTATCTATAATGCAATTCAAACTATAATAGAATCTATGATAATGAATTATTTAGTTGTTATAAATGAACCATTGATTTATTATGAATCTATTTCTACTTCAATACTTGAAAGAAATGAAACTATTAATATTTACAATTCCAAAATTCATGATAATATATAAATATCCATTGGGAAATATGTAAATAGCCCAATATTATAAATATATTCCTAGCAAAATATTAATATTAAAATTGAATAGATAAATTTTCTAAGAAATATTTTATAATCATATGAATAGGAAGATAGTTATATCTCTTCTAGTTTAATAAATATTGACTGTCAAAAAAGCAATGTTTATTTACATATGGTTATATTTGAATCCAACACACTTATTAATAGTGTAAGCTCTTTATTATTTATTATTTCAGAAAGTGTTAAGTTTGATTAAGTTATATTTAACAAGAGCTGTTAATTTGATTATAATCTTATTAAGCCATATATATAATGGGGATATAATCTTGAAAGTAAAATATATTTAGAAGATATTCAATTAAGCTTTTAGTAAAAATGTTTGGTTGGAAATGCTATAATTTAATCTTCTAAAATTCTAATTAATAATTCAATATTTAATCATTCATTTGGTTAATTAAGTGGAAGCTTATAATTCAAATTACAGTCTTCAGGTTCATTAATCATCGACTAATGTACATTCCAAAATATATATATGGCTTCTTCAAAATAATATGATTCTGTTTAATAAGGAGGCACAATATTTATTGAATCAGAATCATATATAAGTGTATAAATAATAAACTCTATTTTTTCTGCAATTAATTCTTATGTTTCTGCAGGAATACTCTATCTAAACGATAATTAAAATTAACTTAAATTAAAATTAGGAAATTTGACTATCACCAATTGTTATAGTTTTAAAGGAGACATCTTATATAGATATATTTCTAGTTATAATTTAACTAATTAGAATTTCAGGCTTTAAAATCTTACAATAGAAGATACATATTAAGGTTTCTTAGATTATTAAAATTTTGCAAATTATTATTATTATGCATTTAAATAATTAAGAAACTATTTGCTATCCGATAGAACCAAAATTTATTTAATTTCTGGTAATATTTATATGGATAATATTAAAGTTTAGCAAATTTATTATGAATCCTTTATTATTGGTACAAATTTATTTAAATTTTCTTTATCAAATTCTATAATTTAAGAAGGAATATTACCAATTAATGGTCTTATCTCATTATATAATTAAGGTTATGAGAATGAATGTCTTATCAGATAGGTTTTAATATAAAATTTAACATCCAATTTAGATTCAATATTATTTAGTGAGACATTATAAATTGAGACAACTAAGTTTGTTGAATAATAATAAGTTTGTTTAAGTAAATTTAATAATGATTATGCTCCAGTATTTTTACAGTCTTTTTATAGCCCAGATTTGTATTATAATAGAACTTTGAGTTTATTTAATGAATTGAATTTATATTACTAAAAATAGTCTATTATGGCAATAATTATGCTTACAAATATTACTAATTTAGTTTAGTATAAATTTATTGAATTATAAATATAAGATATAAATTGTTAGGCATGTTCTCTTAGTTTATTATATTTACATTAAATTGAGGAACGTGATATGGCAAATAAAATTGGATTTTTAAAACTTGAAAATAATTTATGTGGATCGCTTAGTTGTTTGATTATTACAGATAGAATAATATCGATATCAGATATAAATATAAATAAAAGACTTTTATTTAATGAAAAAGAAAATGAAAAACTTGTTTAATAAACTAAATATGATATAGAGTTAATTGATTTTAATTGTTAAAACAACCAGGCTGTTTATGGTACCTGTCTATTTATTAAAGATTAAAATATTTTAATAAAGAATAGTTTGTTAAGAAATAACTATGCAAAAATGGCTGGAGGTGCAATTTATTTTTAAGGTTAAAATAAATTATTAACTTTATTATCTAGTAAAGTTTCTTAAAATTAAGCCTTATTTGGTGGAGGAATATTTACATAAAACTCAAGTTTATCAAATTACTCTAAAATGGGTTCAATCATTAATAATAATAAAGGTATAAAGTATGGAAATGAGTAATCAACAAATCCTACTCATATATCAATTACTCTAAATAATTATGGATCTATATTCTTTACTAATATAAAAATGAATAATTCTTATACTTTAATAGAAGAGGTATTAGTTTAGAATAGGTTTCTATATAAAAATAAATACATTAATCTTATTTATCTACCTAGTGGATAAAAAATAAGTGAATATAAATAATTTAATATAACAAGTAGAAATTATTAGTCTAAGAATCTTACTTTTAGAATAGTGTTGATGAATGAATTTAGAGAAATTTATTATAATTTATCTAATACTAAATGTATTTTGAAGAGTAGAATTTATAATTTGAATTTATCTGAAGAATAGTAAGAATAATTCTCTAATAATTTTACAAATAAGAATGAGATTCTTTTTAATTCAGAAACTAATGATTATAATTTAGATGATTTAATTATTTTATTTAATACTAATTAAATAGATGAGTTAATTTTATAATTAGAAATTAGATGTGAAAAGATAATCATCCCTAATTACAATTAAAAATTCCCTTTTTAAATATTAAATTACCATAATAATTATAGTCTCTAAATTAATGTTAAAACATATCCATGTTAATATGGAGAAATATATAATAATGGAGTTTGTGAAGTTTGTGATTCTTTTAATAATTTTTATTAATTAAAATTAAATTAATAAAAATGTAATTTAATAGATGAAATATCTATTAAAGAAGTGACACCAACTTAATTAAATATCTATTAAGTAATTTTTAATATTTTAATTTAGGGGTATTGGAGACCTTATTTTGATACAAATTAAGTAGAATATTGTTATAATCTACCTGAGAGTTGTTTAGGTGGTTGGAAGGAAGGTGATGATTCTTGCATAATTGGACATATTGGAGCATTATGTGAATAATGTGATATTTAAGATTTAAGGGGTGATGGAAGATACTCTATAAGTGGGCCTTATTAATGTGGAACATGCACAGATTAATAACTTAATCTATTTTCAATAATTGGAATAAGTATTTGGTAATTAGATAAAATAAATTTTAGGACTTTGTTGACTATACTAATTGCTGCTAAAAATACAGTTACTATTGTAATTAATAAATTATTGATTGTTAAATTAAAAAAAGCAGGTTTAATATTAATACCTTAACCTTTAAATGAAGGATTATTGGGTAAGATTCTTACTAATTATCTTTAAATTATTATGACTTTAACTACATTTAGATTATCATTTCCTAATGAACTTAATTATGCAATTAATTCAACTGGAAATCCAATTAAAACTATGGCTTATTCTCTGGATTGCTTTTTAATTTATGTCAATTAAATAATAGAACTTCATTATTTACGAATGTTATGGTAAATATTAATGCCTATTATATATATATTGTTATTTTTGAGTGGTTATGGGCTCTGTATTGTTTTAAAGAAATGTAAATATCATTCTACTGTATTATCTACAACATTGATTAATATGTATATTATTTTACAGCCTAGCTTAATTGAAGGATTCATTAAATTGATGTCATATAGAACAATTTCAGGATTTGAATGGATATCTATAAATGTAGCATATAGGTTTGATACAGAGAAACATTTTAATTGGATGATGTACTTTTGTTTCCCATTTTTAACTATAATTGCTATAATTATTCCATTAATTTTCTTTTTATTCTTATTTTTTAATAGAAATAATCTAGATAGTAATGAAAATAGAATGAATTGGGGATTTCTATATAATGAATATAAGAAATCTGGATATTTTTGGGAAATCATTAAATTAATTGAAAAAGAGATAATTATTATTATTTTAGCATTTTATGAAACTAGTATTATAATTAAAGCAATTTTAATATATATCATCATCTATATCTATTAATAATTGACAATTAAATATAAACCTTATGAATCTAATGTATTAAATGAATTGGATCATATAATGACATAAGTATGTGGTTTTTCTATTGTACTTGGTATTGGAATTTATGTTTCTAAACAAAATTACGAAATAGTTTATCCTTTATATATCATATTGATATGCATAAATTTATATTTTATGTTTTTAATGATCAAAACACTATTAAAAGCATATTTGATAGAAATGGGTAAAGATATAGTTATGATTTGTTAAAAACTCAAAAAGTACATTAAATTTAGTTGGTTTTAAAATTGTAGATTTTTTGAAAATAAAGAAGAGAAAAAGAAAAGAATCAAAATTAAATTTAATAATGTAAAGAAGTCAATATTAACAATATCAAGAACTATTTAATAAGGAAAAAAGGAGACAGAACTATCAATAATTGAAGATAAAAATCATTATGAGAATATTTAAGAATAGATTTAAAAGGAAATAAATAGTGTAATTCAGAAATAATAGATATCTTCATTATCAAGAGATCTCGAAATGACTTTAGCATCTCATAAAGGTGGAAAACCTGATATGAAATTATTTAGTAAAGTCTTCCCAGAAAAATCATAATGAAATTACATAGACTTAATTATTTTATAATAATATAAAATAGATTATAATATATATTAGTTATTAATAAAATTTATAATAATAATTATTTATATTATTACTTAAACTTAGTTATTTAATAAATAGAATTTGAAGTTAGGTAACATTCTAATTAATGGTTAATTGAGTAATTTATATATGATTTTTTTCATACTGTATTAACAATTATTGGATTTGTTATGATATTATTATATATTTCATAAATAAGTTATTTTAATTATTCATTCTATTTATTAGATGGTAATTTCAAAATACTTTTAATTATTATTTTTTTATGAAATATTGACATAAAGATTCAAATTAAAATCTACTAATTGAATTAATTCATGATAGAGAATAAAAATATCTAATGTTTATTATAAATCATTTACTAGAAGATTACATAATATTATAAAAATAGATTGATCTTAGATTATTTATTAATAATAATATCATATTTTATAATTAAATGCTGAAAAGTAATAGTAAAATTCATATTGATTTTAAATATAAAAATAAATAAAGAATAGAGTTTTGATTATTTTATATCAATTAGATTAATCATGTAAATTTTATCATTTCTGTATGTCATTTAATAATGTTATGTTTATATCAGTATAGTAAAATAATGAACAAAAATATGTGTTATAATATAAAAATTAATGAGTTTAATTGATCAAATTCTTAGCATAGGAAATGATCTATCAGGGCCTTAAATATTTGTTGTTTGTTAAAAATGGTAATTTAGCATATTAAAGATTAGGTATGAATAATTTCAGGATGAATTGTATAATTATAATACTAAATTCTCTAAAATTGATAACTATTCACTTTGGTATTATTTTATGGCAATAAATTTAGCATTTGTTAAGAGGAACAAGTGTAATTAAATAGCATTTTGAACAATTTTAAGAGAGAGTTCAATATTTAGCCAATAATTATACAACAAAACTCATAGGAGTAAATTCTAAAAGTTGATAAGCGTAATTAAGCTCATTACATAAGTAAAGCACTTTGGGAGTTTTTAGAAGAGTAAGTGAAAGGAGGTAAACAATTAGAATATGATGTAATTTAGGTCCATGTATTCCATTATACACAATGACTAAATAGGAATCAAATGTAGTACGAACAATGTTTGATAACCTTAAATTTATGACAAATAATGAAATTGAGGAATTGATGCCTAATTTAGTAGTTCCTGTAGATATGATTTAAATGGAATTTCTTATTTAAAATGAGGATGATTCTCTAATATACTTTACTAAAGTTGTTCCTTTAGCTTTTACAATAGAATAATTGATAACAAAAATATTGACTCCTCTTTTTGACATATCAAATCTAATGTGTTACAATTACTATTTAAAAAAATTCTTAAGTAACAAAAGTTCAACATTTATTTGTGAATTATAAATCAAATCATTATGGTTTCTTAAAAATATAATGAAAAATTGTGTGAAAATCTAGAATGAAGAATTAGAATTCACAGAGAATTTGGATGAAGTCTAAATGATAGAAGATTTCTAAAATTTTAAAACAGAATCTACAACAGAATCTAGAATACCATCTTTATTGGATATATCTTAATAATAATAAAATAATCATATTCATGAATTCGATGATGAAGGTAATCAGAGTAATTTAAGTAATTAAATTATTAATATATAAGTGCTTAGAGATATAGATGATTTTAAAAATGAAATTAGTACTACTCTTAAACATAAGAAAAACTAATTATTAGTCCTTTTAAAATATGAATAGGCAATAGAAAACATAAATTAAATTATTTAATCAATAGAATAAGATAATTGTTTTAAAAAAGAATAATAAGAAGAAGGAACTAATGATGAACTCATTGAATAAGATATTTGATTTCATAAAATAACAAACATATTCAATTTCAATCATTAATTAAGAAACAATTTATTATTTCCTTATATTCTTTAAATATGTATTATTTTTTAAATAAAAATAATCATATAATATAAAAACCTATTCATTAATTAATTTAAAGATGCGAATACCCTAAGTATATTTTGAATGCATGGAGAAACGATTTAAAAAACAAAAAAAATGCAATCAGACTGAAGACTATAGTTGGATTGAAAATATTAATAAACCATTAATAGAAAGAATATCTGATTTTGCAAAATGTAAATAATTACAAGATCCTAAATACATACTAATAATAAGTGAAACCATTGACAAGATATTAGAAGCAGGTGTTGAATTATTCTAATAATAAAATTAAAATCCATGCATTTAATTGCTTGGAGAATGTAATTCTATTTAACTTTGGAATTTGTGTTTATAATGTTGTAATTTTATAAGGAATTGTGGCAATCCTAAAATTAGTATTAATATATATTTAATAAATTAGTTGATATGATATTCAGTTATGAACATTTGATTAATTTGATATTTCATAATCCAGATTATGATTTATCAAAAATTTACTAAATTATATAATGTTTATAATTCCTTATAGAATCTATGAATACATCTTAAATTTGCAAATTAAAAAGTATAAACATTTATAATTTCTTTAGATGAATATTTTGAAAAAGTATTTTTAAGATTCATGTACATTAATGCATTCTTTCAAAAGAGCATTTATAATCTAAGCAATTAAGAATATCAAGAGTTATTTTAACTATAATTGGATAATTGTATTTTAAAGTTCACATTTCCATCTGATGATATGATAAATTATCAAAGATATATAGAAATTAATAATTTACGTAAAATATTAAAACATCCTTTATAATCATTTGAAGTTTAATTTAATTCCAGTAAAAACCCTTATGAATAATCCATTTAGATTATTAAAGAAAATAAGATTGATAATGATAGCATACTTTTTGATTAAGTCTTTATTCGTTTGCTATGTCATTATTCAGGTACTGAACTATTAATTTAGAAGATGTTTATAACCAATTATATATTTCATTTTAGATGTCTTTTCTAAGAATTCCAATTTATCAATAATAAAAGTATGTTGGATATTACAAATAGATTAATTGATTAAAAAGATTATCTATTTCTATTAATTAGAATGATAGCTATCAATAAAGAAGAATCCTTAAATGATGTTATGGTACAAAGTCTTCAATTTATTTAATCTAAATAAATACAACTCTTTGAACAAAATACTTTTTTAGAAAAATTATGGTTATTTGAACTATAAGGAATTTAAGATTCATTAATGGAATGGAAATAAGAATTCTAAATTACAGAAGGTAACTTTTATGAAAATAAATTATAATTAAGTCCAAAATATTAATAGATATTCTTTTAATAATTATTAGATTAATAATTTACATAGATATTTAAAAAGTAATCCAATTATTAATAATGGAATTATATAATCATTTCAATTATTAGAAAATCTTTTTTAGAAGATGGATAAACTAGATTACCTTATCATATAATGAATCCATTATTGACTTATTCTGTGAATCTTATAATTGAACTTCCTGGAAATAATCAAAATTAATAATTAGATTATTCATTAGAAACATAAATTATACAAGGATTATTTGAAATCTTAAAAAATTGTTGTTTAACATAATAAATTTAATTATAAATAAGAGGATTTTAATTACTTAATCAATTAATAACTTATTATAAATAAGAGTTTGATCAAGTCTAAATTTAAAATGCTTAATCAGAATTTATGATGCCTGTTCCTGAAAGATATCACAAATTGTTATCAGAAATTTGGTCCAATAAAATTTTAGAATAAACTTTACAAAATTCATAATTAAATGAATAATTATACACTTATTTAATAACTTTATTAGCTCTAAATATGGGTGAGAATCCAGGAAGAGTTAGAGAATTCTATGAAAACAATAGTTTACAATATCTAATAGAAAGAATAATGGAACTTTTATAAATATGTTCTAGAGGATCACATTTGATTGTAACAATAATTAATTTATTGATTGCTATAAGTACAAATGAATAAGCTATTTCATTGGCCTTATCATCAAATAATTAAAAAAATTAAGAAAATCTAATTAAGTAGATATTTTCTAAATGTTATTTACCATCAATTGAACTTTTGCATAATCCTAATGTTAGTGAAGATTTTGCTAAAAAGATAATTATGTTGTATAGTCAAAGTCTATTAGCAAAAAAACAAATAGAAAAGGTTATTGAAAATACTTTTGTATAAATTTCATAAATGGTTGATTTAAGTAAAGATAAAATTGAAGATATTGTTAGTAATTAAGAAAAATTATAATCATTTTATGGATATTCTAAAAGTCTTTAAGCTTTATTGTAATTATTTATGTAATTACAACCAGAAAAGAAATAATCATCATATCGATAATTCTAAGGATATGAAGAATTACAATTAGAAGAAGCTTAAAGATAAAAAGATTTATTGTTTAATTCATTGTTAAAAAATTAAAAATTTGTTGAAGCTTTGGAAAAAATTATTATGAGTCCAATCCTAATAGGAAGTAAGAATAAGGACAAGTATATAGAACATTATGTTGGAATTTTATGTAAGAAAAATAAAATAAATCCTTTTACTTCCTTATAAAAAGAATTAGATTTAATATCTAAGAATTACATGATTATTGAAGATAAGAAAATAATAGATATAGGAAAGTTGGTTGATTATGATGCCTTATCAATTCATATGAGTTATAAATACTTTTTTAGAAAGATAATAAAGCATATCTCACCCTAAACTTATAGAGGTTTTTATATTTTAAGTCGTTTCCATTTAATACATTATTTGATTAAGATTTGTATAAGTCAAGGAGGAGTGTAACTAAATGAAATCCATTTATTAATTGCTTAATTATTGTAAATCTATTTTTTATCATCACAACATGCTGGATTTCATGAATCAATTATGATGTTCATGGCAGCAAAATGTCAGATTTAAAAATGTGAGAATAATTATGATGAAGATATTCAAATAAGAAGGAGAATAAGCAAAGAAAATTTAATACCTTTATAAGAGTCATGTTTAGAATTAATAAATAAATTATAATAATAAGCCACAATTGAATAAAAAGAGTTTATAATTAATAAATATGGAGAAATAACACAATTATTCTTTGTTAATTTTAATGAAAAATATGAATAAATTAAATAATCTAAAGGATTAATATTAATTTAAAATGTTACTTATATTTAAGATATTCTTAAATCATTTAAATTCTTTTTAAATCTATTTCAAAATTTAATACAATAAAATCAACCAATATCATTTACATTTATATGCTATTAAAATAAATCTTTTTATTTAAATTTTATTGATATGATTAAATATTTAGATAGTGTATAGAAATTACAATAAAATAATAATAAAGAATAAGAAATCATTAAGAAGATTCTACCTAATTTTATTGAAGCTTTTATAATACATATTGATAATATTATCAAATCATCAATATTTAGAAAAATTCTTTTAGATAAAATTCAATTGTCTAATCAGTATATTATTGATCCAACTTAATTAGAATATATATTCAATGAATTAATATTTTCTTAAACACATTTGATTAGTTAAATGATTGATTTATTACTTTATAACAATTCTGAAGGACCATTAAAGAACTTATTTGAATAGCTTATACAAAAATTTTAATCAATTTAAGATATTTAAATCAAAGATCTTCAAAAATTAGGAGGATAAGAATAGAAGGATTAAATAGTTGCTTAAAACGATCTTGTTTAATAATTATAAGGTAATGAAATAAAAGAATAAAAAAAGTCAATATTTGATAGACCAGATATCCAATTAATATTAGATAAAATATGTGAAATGGGAATTAATTAAAAATTAGCTAAGAAAGCCATTTAAAGAGTAGAAATACCAGAACCATCAATGATTGTAGACATGATATTTAATGGAAGAATATCTGATGATGAAGAAGATTTGGATGACCTTATTTTTGAATCAGAATAAAAAAGTGATAATTCACAAACATTAATAAGCAATTAGAAAATCTAAACTGATACCAAAAATTAACTTGAATAAGATTAAAATTAGAAAAGTATGACTATAATTGACAATGATACTTTTATTAAAGTTTTAAATGAAAATTTTCCATTAAACAATACATAAATATAAGTATAAGATAGAGTTTAGTAATTGATAAATAATTTTTAATAGAAATTAGATGATACTATCAATTAACTATTAGATTAATAATTAAATAATTAAAAACCTAATCTCAATCTTTTGGAATACTTATTCACAATTACAAAAAAATAATAACATATCCAAAAAATTTTAAATTATATCTTTGTATCATTATAATCAATAAAATAAGTAGAGAAGATTTAAGATTTGAATTAAAAAATGAGTTAATTAAAAAATGCTCTATAATGGTTGACACTTCTGTAATCAATATGTTAATTAGAACATGAAAAAATCTATTAAAATTTTGTACAAATAGATTAGGAGTCATAATCAGATAGAAAATGTATATTATCATTTTAAGAAATGATTAAGTTAGGATTTGTTTTGATTCAGGAAATAAATGATCAATTCATATAATAAAGTTAAAATGAATTTAAGGAATTAAAAGAATTAAATTATTAAGAATTAAACTATTCTGAAATTTACTAGAATGTTCAATAAACAACTAATGATCTAAATGTCTTATATGATAATAAATATAGTACTCTAAGATTATTTTGTAGAGAACTAATGTAAGTCTAAAAATATTTAACAAGATTAATAATTAATTAAAAAAATGTAAATGATTAATTAATAGAAAATTATTGGAATCATATCGAAATTTATATATAATTCTTAATTTAAATATGCGCTGTAAATTTTCATTTATAGGAGGAGTCTTTTATATCTTACAAATTATTAGAGTAAATTGATACATTTATTAATAATAATTAAGTTCTAAAAGAATAGAGAGACTCTACACAAAATATGATTTACTTACAATATTTAATACAGAGTAGATTCATTTTTGATAAATCGATAATTTCATAATTACTTTAATGCTTAAATAATTTTGGATTACATAATTAAAATAAGCTATATCATATTCTTATCAAGAGATAGTTTTAAAATAAATAATCATTATTGGATGTATTATTATCGTTAAAAGTTCATTAAGATCATATTGAATATGAAGAATCATAACCTGTATTTTTAGAGAATCTAATTTATTTGATTGGAATTGATAGTCAAACAGCAAAGGATTTAGTATTATTAATTTTGAAATAAGTAATGCTAAATGAACATATTGATTGGCATGCATAATAATTAAAAAACTTAGATTAAATAAACTAAATATAAATGCCTTAATAATTTATTGAATGTTAATTATAATATTTACTATGGTATAATCCAGTACTAATTAATAATCCAATTGTTTACAATATTATAATTGAATAATAAGGTCTTTCTATTGCTGATCAATTTTCTGAATTAAAAAGAATTCATGGGTTTAAGTAATCTTCATAATAGACAACTAGTAAATTGACAAAAGAGTAAGAAAAATAATTTAAGGAAAAAGAGATAGAGCTTCTTTAATAAACTTAAACTAATTTAATAATCAGATATGAAATAGATCATAAAATAGAACCATAATTGAATTCTAATTTAATAGATTTAATAAATATTATAGCTTAAGCTACAGTTGATAGATTCTTTGAAGAGAACTTCAGATTCATTGAATAAGTATTTAACATCAAATTAACTCAATAAAAAGATGATGTAAGAGTTTATTTATATGGATGGGACTAATTGTTGAGAATAATTGAAATGTTAATTATAAAGATTCCTTAATTAATATTATATTTAAGATAATTGAAAGTATCATTACCATTTGAAATTAATAATGAAGATAAATAAATTAATTTCATTTAATTTATAATTTAATATTTGACATGGGTTAGCATAGATAAAATATCAAATTTTATGCATAATTATTTAAGTGATATAAATCTACTTTCATTTGGATATGGAGTAACTTTGGGTTAAGAAGTCTTAGAAATATTATTGAATGAGTTAAAAATAGAACATAATAATAATAATATTATATAGAAATATAATCATATATTGTAATTATTAGTATTATTTACATAAACATTGACAACTTAAAATTGTTTATTAATTTTGACTGATTAAAGATCATAATTGAATATTGTCCCTAAATTAATTAATACTTTAAATAATGTAAGACAATGTGAAAATAAATAATTTGTCAAATTATATTAACAGACAATTGCTAAAGTATTGGAACCATTCTTGTAATCTTAAGTATATTTAGAACATATAAAATAAGGCAAATATGGAAATGTTTTTAGATTACAATAGAATATTACAGAAAATTCATTTTAATTTCATTACTTACATTGTCTAAAGAATTAATTGATTTGTTATCATTTATATCCTAATTTCAAAAGTACTGCTGGTTCAGCTTAACATTTTATTTCACATCCATAAGTTTAGCAAACACTAAAAGATGAAAATTAATAAGAAATTATTTGGCCTTTGTATCAATCAAGAAAAATCTTCAATAATCAAAAACTTAATAATCAGAAATAATTAGATGAAGACTTTAGTGATTCAGATTCAGACTTAGATATTTTATAAATTGAAAATAGTCAAATCAAATATAAAGCAAATTATTCAAATAATAATTCTTGGGGAGAATATTATTCCTATGATAATGATTTTATATCCAAAACTAATATAAATAGAGATGAAGAAAGACAACATAAAGAAAATTAGAACAATATTTTTCCCCAAAAAGATTTAAATATTCTTTTTTGTTGTTTAGATTAAAAGTGCTATAATTTCCCTTTGCCAAACTTATAAATTACAACATAAAATATTACATATCATTAAAATGATTACAAATCTTGGATCACATCTGTTGTTGGTCTTTATTTCAGTTTCAATGAATATTTTGAAAATAAAAAACAATTAATCTCTAAAGCATATGATAATTAATTAAAGTATACTGTTGAATATATATAATCTATTAATAGATTACTTATATCATCAACCTATTATTATAATCAACAAGTTGAATAGCTAAAATAATATCTATCATATTATTTAAATGGATCTTTAAATTATATGTAGATTCAAACTGGAACTCCATGTTTCTATTCCAAATTTGGTTAAGCACCTAATTAAATTCAATAGGATTACTAAGCTAATTCAATTTCAATCAATATTAATGATCCAACATTTTAATAAAAAAAAATATTAGCTTAAATCTCTTGTAATGTTTTATAAAGCAGAGTAGTACTCAATGGAATGCCCAATGATTTATATGGTTTAGGATATTTAAAAACAAAACTAAAAGATCTGCTACATTCGGAAGAAAGTTTAAACTTGAAGCCATAATTAATGGAAATTCCTAAAATAACTATGATTTATCCAAATGAGTAATAACTACAAATTACTGATAATATATTTTTGGAAATGCTTTTGTCTCTATTATTAGATTAAAACAATTTTCTATAATTTCCTTTTAATCTCTTGCGTTAGATTAGTAAATGTTCTCGTCTTGGATTCAAATTACTTATTTAGTTACTCATACTATATTAAGAATAGAAAAATAATTAAGAATTAACTCTTAAAATTTTGTATTTAGTGAGTTAGAAAATTCCATCAAATAATTTAAGGGATCTACTCTCTGAATAATTATAGATGAGTCCTATACTTAATAAAAGAGAAAAGGCTAATTTAGCAAAGGGATAATAAATTAAAGAGTAATATATTATTGAAGAAGAAAACTTAGATGAATAAATATAAGATGATGATCTTGAGAATCCTTTAGTATTTTTGATTAACCAAATAAACTTTTATAGTGAAAAGAATGTATCATTTATGACACTATTTCATAATGCTGAATCCCACATACCAATTGAGAAAAGTATTAATTTATTTTATACTAATTTTAGATATCTTGTTAACTCCTCTATTAGCCAATCAAACTAATTTACAATTGTCTTACTTATTTTAGATTATACGAGGATCTCTTATGATAAAATCAGATGAAAAAGACAATTTTAATAAATTTGAAGATGAAAAACTTTATAACATTATGAGGAGATAAGCAGTTATATATAATGGTGGTAAAGATGAAAGAAAAATATTTGAGTTATTTTCTTAATTAAACACAAAAGAAGATATTTAATTCCATGATTTGATTTTTTAGACATTTACAGACAAAAATTAAGAATCATCTGATTCTTGGGATTAAACATCTTTTTCATTAAAATCACTTCAGTATAGATAAATTGAAGAGCAATCTCAATTTAGGTAAATACCTAATGAATCGATTGTCTAAATATAACCTCCTTAGCCTCCTTAATCATCCTAACCTAAATAACCAATACTTCCATTTTCTGTATCTTCAATGTCAATCTTACATTAGCAATAAAAATTACAATAGTTTAAATAACTTAGATAATAAGTTTAATAGATATAAGCAATTCATAAATTAAAGATAGCTGAGGATCAATAATAATAATAATAATAATAATAATAATAATAATAATAATAACAATAATAATACTTATAATTATAACAATAATAATAATTATTAACTTAAATTTCATAAGTTAATGAAGATGAATCAAATTCGTCTAACACATCACCTAAAAGGGAAAGAAAAGTTAGTGCTAAAATTTCTCATGTTGAAATTGACATCATCTCTTCACTATGCAAAAATCTAAATAATTCACTTTTAAGAGAAGGAAATTCTAATGAAATCATTAATATTTTAAATTCTTATGCAAATGATACATTAAAAATTGAACATGCAATGAATGAATTAACAAAATAAATCATTCAACAATCTAAAATCTTTAACTTTGAATTAGATAAAAAGAGAAAATAACTTAGAGATATTACAAATCAAAGAGAAAAAATAAAGGATAAAGATCCTGAATAATTACGAATCCTTAATATTTAAGAAAATGAAATTATTAAAGAGTTGAATTAGAAAACTCCTGATCCAAATATTATTTAAAGATGTTTTATTGCAATAACAGGATTTATCAATTTAAATATTATGGTGTCTGAATAATAAAATAAATAACCAAATAAACCAAGTTCTACATAGACTCGATAATAAATTTAAATGGATAAAATGAAATATAAATTAACTCAGTAAAGTAAAAAAGATGATACTATAAACGATGTTGGTACTTTTGCTAAAAAAGAAATTAGAAATAAGTTCATCAATGTTTTATAAACTAGATAAATACATCATTTATGGCTTAATGTTGTTGAAACTTTACTATTAATCTTTAATTACAAAGGATCTCGATCATTAGAATTATTATAGAAAAAGTTATATCCTCTTTTAGAATGTTTCTTAAGGCTTTATTAGAATGTTCATGAAGAACTTAATTCCTAAAGTTTATCCGAATAGACTAATTCAGAATCAAACTTCTTTGAAAGGAATTTAAGTGGTTCAGCAACTAATTCTCTTTAATTTGGCTTATTATAGACATAAACAATACACTTAAAGCGTTCTTTTTCTTCAGTAAGAAATGAGAACGAAATGCAAATGAAGATTGATGAACTTTTTACTTATTTATGTATTAATGGAAAGAGTATAATCAATTATTTGATCAATCAAAGATTGTAATAAATAAGTTATGATGTAAAATAAATACATTCATCTAATCCTATTAAATTATTTAGAGAAGTAGATCCTCTTGGTTTTGTATTTTTTAAAATGAGTCAAATTGTTTCTTTTGAAAACAAAAAACATTTTTTTGAAATGGATCTTGAAACATTAAAAATTAATGAGAAACCTAATTCTAGATCAAAAGGTAGGTAAAGTGAAACTATAGAATTTATTGTTGTAAGAGAAACTAGATTATAATAATCTCTAGAAAAAGTATTGTAAGTTGAAAAAAATAAATTTAGAAGAAGTGAAATTAAAATTAGATATTAAGGGGAAAGAGGATAAGATGAAGGAGGAATCAGAAAGGAATGGATGACTAATCTTGTAAAAGATATATTATAAACTGATAAATTTGAATTGACTACAAAAAGATTTTATAAGATAAATCCAAATAAAAATTCTTCTGATGATTTGAATCATTATAGACTTTTAGGTAGAATAATAGCTAAAAGTATTTATGATGGATTATTATTACCAGTTTATTTCATTCCAACTATATTTAAATTGATACTCTAGAAAAAACCTAGTTTTGATGACTTGGAACATTATAATGAAGGGTATTATGATACTTTTATTAAGTTTATGAATGATGAGACATAAGTTTAATATAAAGATTTATTTGAATTTTGGATACCTGAAGAATATGCATAATTGATAGAATAAAATAAAAAATATATTTTTGCTGATATTCTTTAAGAATATTTGGAAAAGAATCCTATTAAATAAGATTAATAAATTAAATAATAAAAATAAAATGATTAATAATAATCGGATGTAAAAAGTATTGATTAAGAAATATCATAATAATAATAGTAATAATAATAATAATAATAATAATAATAATAATAATAATAATAATAATAATAATATTAAAATTTAGAAGTTCCTTTTAAGTAAGATTTGATTCAATATTTTTAATAAAAGTAATAAGAATAAGAATAAGAAAAAGATGAACCCAAATAAAAGAAATAATCAGATGATATCACAGCTAAAGATATGGAAAATAGAGAAAAGAAAAGATTAATACGAAAGAACAAGAGATAATAATTAAGTGATGAAGCACTTAAATAAATCAAATTATAAGATATATTCTTATAATTATCATAAAATATTAATGTCAAGCATAAAAGGCTAATTTGTGAAGTTATTAGTAAGAAACTTATGATTGATGAAATTAAAAGTCAAATTCATGTAATGAGAGAAGGATTCTTTGAGATATTGCCTAAAGAATACTTATAATATATGGATTGGAGAGATTTACAAAAATTAATAATTGGAGTACCATAAGTAGATGGTAAAAATTTTAAATATATAATTTAGTTGATGATCTTCAGGCAAATACTGAATATGTGAATTATGATAAAAATAATTAGACCGTCATATGGTTTTGGGAAGTCTTAAAAACATTAAGTGATTCAGAAAAATCTGATTTCTTAATGTTCTCAACAGGAAGTCCTCTAGTTCCATTTGGAGGATTTAAAAATTTAAGAGGACCAAATGGCCCAAAGCAGTTTTCGATATCAAAAGATTTCAATTCGGATCATTTTATTAAAGCTCATGCATGGTATGAAAATAAGTTAATTTTTTATTAGTTTTAATCGTATTGATTTACCTGAATATAATTCTAAAGAAATGGTTAGAGAAAAGCTATTAAAATCATTAAAAGAATCAGGATCTGGATTTGATTTAAGTTGAGTTAATATTATAAATTTTATTATCATAATTTTAACTTCATTAAAAATAAAAAAATTAATTAATCAGCATTCAGTTTGAATGTGAATTCTCTTTATTTCTCTACTATAGAGATGAGATTTATTTCTCATTAACGAATTAATATTGCTTGTTTGAGTTGATGTCAGATTTTGACTATCAGAATTTCCATCATTAATTTAATTTAATCGTAAATTAAGTTGATTTTTTGAAAAGTAAGGAAGTGTTAATTGTCTTTTTCTATGATTTTATTCAAAATTTTAAGGGGAAACCAACAATTTTAGTTTATCTTTCATTTTTTTATTATCTGTATCATCACAAATAGTTAAGGGAGAGATATCTGTTATACTTGGTTCTACAGTACTACGTAATGTTATCTAAATTTTTATTATGATTTAGTACTTCCATTAAATTAAATTTTTATGGATCACAATATTCTTATTTTGAATTGACATTTAAATTTTTATTTCTAAGGATTTATAATATATAAAATACAGATCTTTTAACTTCAAATATAGTTATTATTTTGATAGTCTATCTAAATTAAATGAAATTGATTCTTTTAATTATATGGAATCTTCAATGTGTTTGTTGAGATAATTTTAGTATTTTTCAGAATACTTATCTTAAAATAGATATAAATTTTTGAATGATTCATCTAAACTTTCATATTTTTCTTTTCTTTTCTCTTAACAATGTTTTATCACTTATCTAGTTAGTATTCGAGACTAAAAATAGAATAAAAAGTCTAACTTCGTTAGGATTATTAATTCTTGTTTGAGTATTACATTTAACTTAAGGTATTGATTCATCTATTCTACATATTTATTTAGAACAATTTAGCAATGATATACTTTTATCACATTTAATTGATCTAAGTTTAACATAGGATTCAACATTTTTTAAATCCCTCAATTATTACGAATATAATTTGGTGCATATGGGAGAAACACCTGATTAACTTTATAAATACTAATTGATACTTAAAGAATAAAGGACGTTAGGCTTTGATTTCCTTTGCTAAACTTCTTCTTTGAATTTTCATTTTTGACAATAGTTCTTATAATAATTAATCTTAAGTTTTAATAAATTTAATTTGATATTTATAGAAAGAATCAATGATTAATTCAACAAACTAAATTCATTATAAGTTAACTATATTTCCAGTTATATCATAATTTGTGAAGTGTCTTTTATGTTATTTTTATAATTCTGGCATATCATTTAAATGACCAATATGATGCATACTTTTAATTTCTTTAGCTACATTCACTTAAGGATTGAATGATGCTCTACCTTATTTATTTTATTTAATCAACTTAAATGATTAAATGTTAAGTTAATTATTTTACAATTTTGTAAATTATTACTTAATACTAACATTTGAACCTCTATTTTTACTTATACTAGAATATGGTACAAATGGTTTTGAGAATTTTCGTTCAGTTTATGAAATGTGTAACTTAAATAGAAAAGTTTTTTACTGAGTTTCCTGAAGGTATGACTAAATTGAAACGATGTGTGGAATTACTAGAAGGTAAATGATCCATGGATAGATTTTATTTTGGAATAATATTTCTTAAATTTTGATATAAATTACAATTGCTATAATTTTGAATATAATTCTTCCTTAGTCATTTATTTTAAATTAAATTTATGTGATTAATCTTTATCTATTTCCAAATGTTTATCTAAAGATTTTTAAAATTTCTAAAATGAATCATCTAAAATTGAAGACATTTTATTTTCAATTTGAGTATCTTAAAATTCCATTCTATATTTTTGTTTAATAAATTGATTTTATCTAATTTATCTTAATAAAAATGAAGTTGACTATATAATTAAATTAATATTACACTTTAAATCTTTTTATATCCAATATTTTCCATATTGACATTATGTAATGTATCAAAAAATAGCTAATCAGTTCTATGTATTTTATATTATTAACAAAGTCTAATAGCTAATTTCTTATCACATTTCATTTATCGAAGTTTAATAAATTAATCACAATCAGTCCATTCTATTGGTTTTCTTGAAAGATTTGGAAAATCATTGATACTAAATTATTTTCCTTCTCTTCCTGATTTATAGAGATCCTATTAGTAAGTTTTAAGTTCCTTGATGATGCTTTTTTATGGTTTCATATTTTATTTAAATTTTATAAAATCAATAATAAAGCAATTAACTTTAATAAATGCTTGACTTCAATGAGGAATTTCTTTGATCATCTATTTATTAAATAATTTCATTTTTCTATTATTACATATTATTGGCTATCTGAAGTCTACCCTTTTTAATGATAGATCGAATTTCTTCTAATGAATTAATTTTATTCAATTTATTCTCTAAATGACTTATATGAATTGAATCATTTTGTTGATTAATTTTTTCCTAATTAACTTTTACCTATTATAATATAAATATTAACTTATAATCTATGATTATCTTTTTAAAAAGCTTTTTAAACTTAATCTAATCTTTTCTTTCCTTATTCTAATTCAGACTAACATAATTTCTCTTCTAACCTTTATAATTTATCTTTAAAATAATGAGACTTTCTTTCACTTAAGATTTAATTCTAATATATAACATCCAAAATATGTTATTCATGTTTTTTTATTTTATCTACTGAAGTATCAAATCTCTCTATTCTTAATTATTCTGCTTTCTTAATTTTATCTTCAATACTTTTGCATTTATGATATTAATTCTATAAATAGTAATAATTGATAAAATACTTATGCTTCTCTTAATGAAAATATTTTTTATTTTATTTAATTTCTCTCTAATTAGTTCTCTTCTAGGGATAATTTATGTTCATAATATTAAATTAATTATTATCGTGATTTATCGACTGAGTCTGACATATAGTCAATATTTGGATAAAAATTTTGTTAATAGCTCCAATAAGAATCCAATTATTATAAATAATTCTTTTCTTTTTATTATTAAAGGTAACTTTACTCATTTATATATCTCTTTTTTTTTAGCTAATATTAATACAAATTCTATACTTGATTATTTTTTTGTTTAATCTGTTAATCTACTTCAAATTATTTAGAAAATAATTGAGATAATTTTTCTTTATTGGATTGACTGTTTTATGTTATTATTTTTTAGTATTATGATAGAGTGTTGAGTTGTTTCTCCTAAATTTAAAAATAAATCAACAATGTTACATGTTATTTAACAAATTTATCAGTTTTTTGTATTTCATTTTACAAAAAATTTGAGATTTGCAAATTTGATGGCAATTCAACTTTATTCATTTAATAATATAAAATTATGAGTCAAACATTCAATGTAACGGTTTAAAGAGATAAAATTTTTGTGATATTTTTTATTTCTTTGTATACGTCTCCAATAAAAATGCTTCCAGTTTTTTTATTTCTGGACTTTTACTGAGAGGATCCTTTAATGTTGTAGTTCTTTTGCTAGTCTATTTTTCCAATATCACAGGTAATTATGAACCAGGTAAACTTAATTATTTTTTATGTTTATTCATTGTAAAAAATATTTATTAATATATTTTCAATGTGAGATATCTATTAATTTTTTAATATTGACATATTTCAAATTTTTTATTGAAATGCCATAAATTAGATATATAAATGTTAGTAAAAGTTTTGACATTCTTTAAAATTAAATATCAATTCTCTAATTATCATCTCTAAATTTTCAAAATAATTATAATTACAATTTATATGTGATTAGATTTAAAATAGTTTTATTAAATAAAATGAGAAATTAATCTGCAAAAAAAGAAACTAATCAAATAAAAAAAAAGTCAACTATTAAACCCAATATTAACTTATAATAATATAGCTTTTTGGCTACTAGAAAGAATTTCTAAAGTCTAACATGTTCTACTCAATAAGATTCAAATATTAGCAATAAATAATTTTAATCACTTAGACAACTATCACCAACGGATTAAGCTGAAAAAAAAAGTATTTTTATCAAATTATATCATTTAAAGATCAATAAACTAAATATTCATCATAAAGATTGATTAAAATGAATTCAAAAGAATTTTAAGACTCCAACAAAATTATGAAAGGGAGTTTTTACAAAAAAATATCACCATAAATTAATATGAATAATGATAATATTGAAGTTAACTTTGTTAGAGAATTCAATCTTTATAATGAGTCTAATTCAATAAGAGAGAATTAAAAAAATGTTTAAATCGATAAAGAAATAACTATATAAGAAGTATTTAATTCCAAAGTTCAAGTCAAAAGTTCTCGTAAGCTTACTAATGATAATGCTTAATTTTAAGCAGCAGTAGGCAAGGGCATTTTGAATAGTTACAAAAAACTTTTTATTAATTCTGAATCAAAAAATGATTAAGTATCTCTTTGCTCCAAAAATCAACCATTAAGTGCCAGAACATAAAAAATAAATTTAAAGTAATACAAATGAATATAACATTCTTATATATTCATTCTATTACATTCAATATATATTATTTTTTTTTATATATATATACTAGTTTTAGTGTTTCAAAATCATTTTAATATGTATATGATAATTTCAATAGAGAAATATTAAATTTATAGTTCATAGTTTTATTCATGATTTATATAATCAGATTTTATTAAAGCTTCAATAATTTATAGGATCCAACTTTTCTTATTGAAATATCTATCCTTTTCTTCTAAAAGTTCTAGAGAATGAAACTGAGAAATCAATAAGTTTAGAAAGTTTAAATATTGTTTAAACTTCTGCTCCTAGTTAATTTATTAACTAATTATTGATGTACTATTCATATTAGTTTGAAACAGTTAAACCATTTAATACTTTATCATATGCCTATTTAAATAAAATAAAATAATTACTTTGTAAATACGTTCATATAAATATGAATCAGCTTTAAGATGAAGACTTTTTTAAGGAGTTTCTGCTTCTTTATTGGTTTTCTCTTTTTATTTAATTCTTGTATATTAATAAAATATCTTTACTCTAAATCGAAATCACATCTAGAATTTTATTCAATTAAAAATCTATCTATCTTTACATCCTTATAATCTAAAGATATTATAGGTTTTGGTGTAAAGTCGAATAAAAGTTATTAATCAGAAGTTAATAGTACCTCTTTCAATTTATCGATTTCATTTAATTTAGTCAAAATATTAAAAAGATCTATTTGACTTGATAATTGATTCCTAAGAAAGATAAATTTATAATTACATCGCTTTATTCATTAGAATAATCTTTCTTTTATTTCGAAACAATATTGAACAAGAGACATAATTCAATAACAATTGGAAACTTAATTTTATAGGTTTGGCTCTTCTTATTAAACGATTTATTTAAGATTAGAAGTACTCCAATCCATTATTAATATGACTACGATATGCCTTTTTTGATTCTTCATCATAAAATTTGATTGATTTTTTAGCATATTTTGCTTAACGTTTTGCTTTAAATATTATTTATTATTAATCTTCAAATTTCAATTTAGTATTATTTTCCTTTTAATTGATTTAACTTGGATTTAATAATTAAATTTTGGCATCACATTCAGTAGTTTTAGAATCAAGATATTATCTTTCAGTAATTAATTGATTGACAAGATTAAGATTATTTTCATGCATTCTTTTAGCTTATTTTTCAACTAACATAAATTCATAGAGTTTATTAGCCAATTCTATGAGCACTAAAATAAAAAATTAGAATTTGAAAAATACATTAAAATCTGTTATAAAAAGCTAAAAGAAGGCCTAAGAAGAAGAAAAGAATCTACTACATTCCACCTAAATTAGAAAGAAGATTGTCAATTTTTAGATAGCTTCTGTAGATTTAAGTTTTGTATGGACTTTTTCTTAAGAAAATGGAAGCAACTTCTAAATTACCTTCCTTGTAAAATTCAACTCTTTCTCTTATTTCTGATTGATCAAGTATATAAAACTTTTCTTTTGTTATAGATTGAAATGGAGTTAAACTTTAATCACTTTCAACTTGAAATTATTTCAGAAATAAATTAGCTGATTTACTTATTATTGATGGTAAAAAATTAAAATAAAAGGAATCGTCTATATAAGTCTGCAAATAATTTTCACTTGGATTGTATGGATTTAAAATCTAGATAAATTATTAATATAAACTTTATTAACTGTATATAATTTAATTTTAAAAGATCCATTTAATTTTACTTCAGCATCCCTTTCGTCTTAACTTGCACATATTTATGTTTAATTGCATTTCTTAATAGATATTTTGAGATATGAGAATTTCTAACCTTTTTTACAATTATATAAAATATTACTTGAATGTGTGCCTTCTAAAATGAAAGTGGCATTTTTTCTAATTATATTCAATTTTTATACTTGAAACAGAGAAAATTATCAATATTTAGTTCTGCATAAGTCTCACTAATGTTCTTATTTTATTGTTCAAAGATTTTAGTAAATCTTTCAAGTGTGCAAGGGACTAATTAAATATATTACTCCTCTCTTATTTTACTTCCATTAGTTTATCTTGTTTCCGATATTTAGAGAACTTCAATGTCAAAAAATGGTCTAGACAAAAAGTTCTCTTAATCTATTTAAATAGCGAATAAAATTGTGTCATCATTAATTATTGAAGATGATGGTATTTCTTCAAAATTAGTAAGAACAGTGGCTATAAGAGTTTCTTTACTGAAAAATTATTTTATGCTTGATGAAAAAAACATGATGATAATTAAGAAAAGTAAAATAGAAACCACACCTCCAAAGAATGTCTTGTAATAGTTATCTTTATTCATTTTTAATGTAATTGTCTAACCAAAGATATCAAGCTTTGAAATCCCTAGATTTATAAAATATATACCTTAAGCCAGTTGATTCATTACAAAATACAAAAAATAAAAAATCACATTTTGTAATTATCCCATATATAATGAAACAGAAAATTAAAATACATTATTACATTCATCATTAAGTAAATTAATTTTACACATAATAATTTTCATAATTCTCTAATTGAATATAGTTTAATGAACAGAAATAAAAAATGTGATACAATTTTATAAAAAAGATAATCAATCATTATAAAATATTCTCATCAATTTATCCTTAAATATCAATATTTACATTATCTATAAATTTTTGATTTCTTAATCAATCTGCCATTAAAATTTGAATCTTTACATAATCACTTGTTTTTGTAATATTTTTTATAAATCTAAAGAATATTGTATCGATTATTTACTTCAATTATATTATGATATTATTATTTTTGATCTTAATTATGTATTTAAATAAACTGATAAATATATAAGGTTTTGGATTTTCATAACTTCTTAATCTAGTAAAAAATGCTGAAGCATTATTATATTTTGATTAAATCTTTATTAAACTACATAAATGAGAGATATTATTTTTTAATTTTTCATACATTTATTAAGATGTTAAATATAGTAAAATCTCGTTCTCTTAATATTAAAGCAAATAAAATCCAATCCAAAAGTACTTTTCTTAATAAATAGTTGATTTAAAGTCAAGGAACTTAATATTTGTAAATTTATTTATTACTTGTTTGAGTTAGTTATTGATATTAAATTTAATTAAAGATTCATTCGATAAAAGTAATGTAAAACTATTTAACAAATTTAGATTAGAATTATATGATTACGAGAAGATGAAAAATTTACTTTATTTTAAGATAATAAACGAGATTTTTTTTAAAGTGATTTAAATAATGGACTTGAATCCATTTTCAAATTAAACTAATTAAATTAGTTAAATTTGTGCCCAATTTTAATGAAATTATTAAATTAAAGCAATTGATAAATATTTAATTTATGTTTTCTTTAAAGAGCAACCGCAAATTACATGATCATGAACATTCAATTTATTTATGCTAGTGTATAATTTATTCATAATTTCTTTTATTTTAAACTTGATTTAAGAACTCCTCCTTTAATCCCATTTTAGCTAATCGAAATAATTTAAGAATTATGGTATTCATATTAATTTATATGAAATATTAATTAGTACAATTTATTCAATACTTTTTGATGTGTTTTCTGCTTATCAATATAATTAAAAGTATCAAACATTCAGCCTAAATAATTTATAATTTGATCATTCTTTTTTTAATCCAAAAATTTACTCTTTCATTTATAATCATATATTCCTATCAATTACTATACAATTTAATTTTTATATATGATAGTTTTGATGGAATTTCAATGTGTTTCTTGGTTTCATTTTAATTTCTTAAATTTTATTCTATTTTATCTAAAGCTATTATAAATATTATTATTATTCTTTAGATTATTACTGTTATTACACTAATTATTATTCTAGTTATATATATTCTATTTAAAGTTGATTATTATTCAAGAAATCCTATTTAAAATAAATTATGTTGTCTATTGATCTAATACTTTATTTTACTATCCTTAAGGATATTATAGTC